TTAAAAACATAAATCTCGAACATAACATTTCTAATAAGTTTGTCAAATTTTTTCTCTTTTTTTTTTCTTTAAATAAATATTATCATCATGTACTTTAAGACATGTTTATAAAGGCACGAAAAATTTATTGACAAGTCAAGTTGTATGAATGTGGTATTCATCAAGGGTATTGACTTGTGTTGTTGAATTGAAATCTCATTTACGTTTATCTAAACCTTAGTATTGTTGAAAATCAAATACATTTAATTCATTCAGTAGAACCTAATATAAAATACTTTCAAATTTCAAAATTTACGATTTCATATGTGAAGATATTTAATAGAAATTGTTTATTTAATTTAAAAAAAAATTATACAATTAAAGATAGTTCTTATCTCGTCGTTGTTATATGAATGATATATTTTCGCTTTTAATTTAAAGTTCTTTATATTATATAGTTCTGCGAAATAAAGGTTGCATTTCCTTCCGGAAACGTCTGTTTTAGTCGGTTTTTAAATTGGACGGTGAACTTAATCCCTTGTGGAATTTTTGCTTTCAAATGTTTTATTTTTTTATTCTATCGCAATTTTTCGAAAACATATTAAAGAATTCATAAAAAATGCTCGAGTTTGATAATTAAGTCAAAATAAAAGAAGGAAAAAAGAAAAATAAATCAAAAGGATATCATTTAACGAAACGCCTTTGTAATTTACATAACATAAGACTTTTTATCATTAATCAAGAACGCCAACCATATATCGCTGATTTGACATACCCTTTAATTAATCTGTCATATAATATTTACATTTATATTTAACATAAAAGAAATCTTCGTTAAATACAAATGACTATTTGGTTGTAAAATATCAAATAACTTCAAATCACATATTTATTTACTTATAATTATTAAATACCATTTACATGAAGTGTTAGCAGAAGCGCTACACATTTTCATCCAAAATGTTTATGAACAGATATTTAGTCTAAAAATAAAACTTTACGAAAAAACAGATGATTTCAGCTACCAAATCGTGATCTTTTCATTTCTATGAAGCAACATTCCAGCAGTGCCTGCATATGGAGTATATATCTCTCATTTAATGAAATTATCATGAAAATTACCAAAATATGCATGCTATTAGATACAAAAGGAATAAAAGAGATTTGGGATAAACATCAAAAATAAATCCTGTAATTGAAATAAAAAATACAAGCAATACAAAACCACAACAAAAACGTGTTCCACATAACTGATTGATTTTCAAAAAACAATGACGAGTCAAATGAAAAAATACTTTCAGTACATTCAGTACATACTAAACGTTTTTGCTAAATACCCTTTCATTAATAAATGTTATCATAAACGCGTCATTGATTTCCTAAATTAACTAGATCACCAAGAATTGTAGTTGTGTCTATTTAAGTGAAAACAGTCTGTTGGTATCACAAATATGGGACGGGACGTTTTATTTTCACACGAAATGTAATTTTATAATATCGGTTGTAGTGTTTTTGTAATCAACTATTATCAGGCTTGCTACAGACCAACTACACATAAAGCAGAAACACGGTTGCATCAGTTCATTTCTTGTTTCAAACTTTAACCAAAGAATCACCAGTAGTTTTAAGTAGTTTCACTTTTATTATTAAAATCATTTGAGAACTTATCAAGATATGTCCTGTGCTTGTACCGCCTGAATTTTGTAGGTAACTTTTGTTCAAACTATTTTAACCGTATCGCACGTTTCCTTCCTCATGTTACCCGTATGTATTAATAAATGAAAATGAAAACCTAAAGCAGTATACTGCACATGTTGTGTCAAAAATTATAGATTTAAAACAGAATAAGCAGAATAAAATTAGTGGCTGGTTTAAACAGTACGATAGTGTAAATAAACATTGTAAAAAGCTGTGATCAAACAATTATTAATAGAATAAATTTTAAGGTGTGCCAAACCACTTTTTACGCACATATTTATTTGTGTGTACAGTTATTACAGTTTGGTCTAAAAACAAATACAGAGGGATCATAAGTATTATAGGTGGGTGAGATTAGAAAATTTAAAATTGCAAAGTGTTTAAAAGTGGTAAAAATTTTCGTGTTTGTTTAAAATTGAATAGTTTAAGTTAAATGTTAACCAAAATAGAAGATTACTATATCATTCTTTCCTTTCAAATGTCTTGCAACAGCTCATACTCCACAATGTTTTGAAGACTAAAGGACAAGGTTTGGATGCCAAAAATGTTTTAATTAATGCATTATTACCGTGGAGAAATATATAAATCTATAGAAGGTTATTACTACCACTGGGTCGATACCTCTGCTGGAGGACTGTTATCCCTGGAGGTATCTCCAGCCCAGAAGCCAGTGCTTCGTTACATGCAAACCTCTGAATACCTGCCCGGCTTTGGCTGTAGTTTTTTTATCCTTTTTTTGTTTTATCAGCTCTTTATTTTTTAATATGTTTTTCATATCAAATATTTTGGCGTTTCTCTGTCGTGTACATATTGAAAGATAATATTCGACAAAAGACTTATCCTGTTTATTAATCTTCAAAGTCATACAAAAAGTACATCAGCCACAGCATGTAGGAAGGTCCAAGTTGTCTTCGTAAATCGTAAATGTCATCTTTTTTATTGACGTTCCGAGTTTTCCTCGGGTCGAGGTGTCTATCATTTGTCTCCTTTGGGAAAACCCCAAATTTAAAACAAACAACATTTTTATTTCGAAGACTTTGCAGACAATCGTGTGTTGGGCTCTTTTCACGACCACAGTCGACAATTGTGGACAAGGGATTAAAATCGGAATTCGTACAAGTGGGAAACAGTCATTAAACTTCCGGTGAGCACTTTGACGTATTTAAGAATGTGTTGGAATTTCATTTTGATATCATTGAGCACACGTACAGTTTTGTATTTGTTGAAAAGAAAGAGGCTCATGTTTGTTTAAAAAACTATTTTAGGGTAAATTATAAGTGAAAATAATGGAAGATGAGAAATAATACTTTATAGTCTCTGTAAATCAATAACACTTCTAAAGTTTATTATATGCCTTAAATCTTGAATTCTGTACGGGATTATGTTATTTTAAAATCTGAAGGATAATATCATAAGTCGGCATTGACTAGTTAAAAATTGAAAAGGATTATAACTTAGTCATAAATGTTTGTGTTTGTTCATTTTAAATGTAATTTGAGTTGGAAATTTAAGTTTAAGTTAAAAAATAATATACTATTATATAGGACCAATGATTCTATGTTTTGATACCAATATGATCATCCATTTTTTATTGTTAAAGGTAAATCCAAAAGATTGCACACGAATTCACGAACTCACGGAGAAAATTGGTTCATTTTATTTTGCTGTACTACACGACACACCCACACATCAATACTTCTGTTAGTAAACATTTAGTTCCCGAGGGAATAATCCGCATAAAGATCCCGTATATGTCTATTCGAACAACTTGTAGACTCATTATAGATGACATTTTGGCGTTGGGAATGGAATGTATGTAGTTCTTCACCAACTTTTGTTAAATATTTCAGTATAAAGTGGATAAAAAGCTTTGATACTTATATAACACGAAACTCTATTGCTTCTAGGCATCTACATCGATATCGGTATTGCCACGTTGTCAAGGAAATATTGTCACATCATTTCTTTAGCGTTGATATTTCTATTCAGTGTATTGTAACCAAATATTTTAAATAACCGACACCATTATGTTAAGTATGTGTTCCCAAAATTTCGAATGAGCATAACGAGATTCCGCAAATTTCTTAATATCAAAATACACGCAATTACTTTGATCATGAATTGAAAACTTCATGATTCATTCCTTCGCTAAGAAACAGAAATGTTCTTAATATAATTTTTTTATAAAAAAAAATCACAGAGGAGGTGATAAAGACATTATATGACTTCAATGTATGATTTTTTCTGATGTTTATGTGCATACATGTATGTGCTGCGGGAGTAATACGTGTATCTGATAGAAATACAAAGTAAAGTCTCAACCGTGACAATGATGTTACACCGGTTTTTCTGTAAGATTTGAATTTTAGATGAAATTGTTCATTTTGTCAAATTTCTTTTTGCAGGGCTTTGGGATAGGATAAAGTTTTACAAATACGTTACTTTCTTTTTAGAGAAAAAAACATAATAAAACATCCTTTTCCATATTCTGATATACCTCATGGTTGTAATGTCCGGTAAGCCACGATGGGATAATATGATACATTCAGATAATGTATATGTATTATATGTAAGTAATGTCACTACTTCTTTCCGTGTTTTATTTATATAAATATACTATGGGACTGTTTAACTCACAAAGAATTATTTTCATGTAACATGTGTTAGTACAATGGGGGAGAAGATATCAAGGGAGCAATCATAAACCATAAGTCGTAGACGAACAACACTATGACCATAAAAATGACGAGCGATAAATAACAGACTACACAGTAAACTCCAAAAAAATATATTAGTTACTAAAGTAGTATAGAAAACACGTTTCATATTATAAAAAATAACTGCTAAGAAATAACTACTGGAAGGACCATTTATAAGACAACGGAAGTAGACACAATACATAACGAAACATTTAATACTATATGTATAAGAAAAATGGTGTCTTAAACTGATCTATTAATTTCATTAGCAGAATTGAATATGAAAAAAGTCAACAGTTTGACTTTTCGTCCCCGAGGGAAAGAGGTTCATCAGAACAGTAGTCAGTACTCTTCTGCTGACATGAGATTTACTTGATGTGGTCATTTACGGCACGCGATCATTTCATGAAAAGTTATAATTCGATACATTCAGGTTTTCTTCGACTAGGTAAAGATGACATTTGTTTTTGAATTTTTTATTCCATTGCTCTTGAACTTTTGAAATAATGTAGCTCCATCGCCCTTTAGGTGTACTAAATTGTAAAGTATATTTGATGTCTTCTCTTTGATATTTCGATAGACTTATCAATTTCGTTACGTAGATCTAAATAAAAATAAACAACATAAGATAATGTATTTATGAATTCCAAAAATATAAATAATATGTAGAGACAATAGTATACATATAGGTAAAACTTTAATGTTTGTGTTTATTTGCTGTCCATTTAGCAAAGTAAAGTAACAGTTGATTAAGCTGCTACTGTCAAACCAAAATAGTCTTTTGATCTAACCTTAAATTTCTTACACACTTTGATAGTTTGCCCTATATTGTTATGGATGCAATTTCAAAACAACTAGAAACTATAACATAAAATCACCAAATTAATATTATTACGAAAACTACAAAAAAAAGGAAGGAATACATATAATGATAAAAAATGTACATTATTTACTGATCATTATTTCGCACGAACCGTCAACCATTGCCAACTCCCTCGAATTAAAGGAGCCAATTAACTCTCTAAGGCCAGCCTTTGTAGGCAAACAATCGACTGTTGCCATAAACACTTGATTGCTAGGTACAATACTGAAAAGAAAAACGTTAGTATTTAAACAAATAGCAATTGATATGTAAATGGTAAAAATTATTTTTTAAATAGACTAAATTAAATTAAGAAATAATGATTGACAATTCCAATGTTTCTATTCAAGACAATTCTAATATCTCTATGAAGACAATTCCAATGTTTCTATGAAGATCAGGATGAACTAGAAAAATGATGGTATAGTTATTTTGTCTAGTCTAAAATGTAGTGATATAAACAAATTAGAATAATTTAACACTTTTGTTGGGCGCAATAGGATTTACGGTCAACAAAAATAAACATTTACACCGTGTATGAATGGTTTGTTATCCTCTGTTCAAAAACATTTGGGAATTTCCTATAATCAAATTAAACTGTTTTCCATTCTATTATCAAAGCTCTGTTCAAAATTTCAAGAGACCCAAACACTTCAGTTATTGATACATTGATATACATTTTGCTAAGTACAAATTAGTTGCGATGAATTTGACCATTGATAACCACAAGATAGTCTTCCTGTCACAACTTCTTTCAAAGATGATTAAAATAGCAATAGTAGTAGATAGAATTAGCAAATTAGGCTGTTGGATGCTATCAATGTCAGCAATATTTTCCAACAATTTGTACAAAAACAATACCTGCCACTCAGTTATCCACATTTCAGTGAGTGCTTGAATCTCATATATCATTTGTGAATTTGAGATTTACAAACAAAAACAAGATTATCATATTGACACCGACGAACTCAAATGTATGACAAATGTGATAATTCACCTTTCAATGTATTAGTTGTAACATACCCACTTTCCCGTCGTATGGCTTTTGCATAACTCAATTAATACGTTACGCTCTTACATCTTAAAATTAAACAAACCAAACTATACTAATGATCCTGACAATAAAAGCTCAAACAAAGTTACAAGTATATATATGGGAAAGAAAGACTAAATTCGTACTACATAAGTTTTACGAAAAAATTGACCGATACGATGTGTCTGTGTCTCACCTCCAAAAACATGTTTTCGCGGACTTCGATCTTAAGATGTCAGAATAGTTTTCCGATCTTTAAATTTACCGATTTATGTCATATTCCTGATTGTGAAAGTTTGATTAAGTGTGGAAGATGCATTCATAGCAGGAGATGCTTACCATGTCGACGCACCCAATCTTGCTCCTTTTGGAATCCCTCATTTCCTTTACCTTGTTTTGTATCTTACTAATGAATGTATCAGATTTGATCAACTAATAACTACTAGAAGTAATTGCCCTAGTATCTTGTACCATGTATGCTATACAAATGTTTCATCTTTTTGAAAAATTCTAGGATAAAATACATGTAAAGAATACTCTCCCTCGTATCAACAAACAGTTCTTACCTTTGAGGAAGTACTTGGGTTTTTGTTAAGCCAATACCTTCGACCGTTAATTCGCAATCAGTCAGAGCACATGGAAGTGGGTTTGTAAATGATACTTCTGCTTTCATCATTTTGCCAATCTTTCCGTTGTCTGGTATCTATGTTAAAAGTACCAGCACAAAATTAGTATATTCCGCCTTTTCGCCTGATTTTTATATAGAAAGAAGTCTTTGTATAATACATTCAACTTTCTGTAGCTGATAGACGGTATGTTATGAACGTATATACACAGAAGTAATTAGTGTAACTAAGTCTCACAAAGGAGGTCTCCTTTGGCCTACATACATATATAATCCCGGGGACTCATCTTATACAGTCGGGGGCAAAATTTCAAGTTTCAAGGTATTTAAACATTCTTGGCTTTGATGTTTTTTAGTTTGAGTGTTCATGGTGAATGTAAATCCACAAAAGCACTATAAGCGCATCAGATAATGATTCTGGATGATTAATTTCCTGGGAAAATAACCAGATGTCTGAGAAAAATGTAATGCTAGTCCTTAATTTTCAACACAACTTGTAGGGGCAATTTTGAAAATTGATGAGGAATGCTCCAGTCTGAATTATTATTTAATACATCATGACATGTCAAACAAGACAAAATAGGTTTTTGGGTTGGTATGTCAACCATTTTCAGGATATTTGAAATTTCTCACATGGCTTTGGTTATGCAATTTGACATGCCAAACAAGAAAAGTTATTGTTAAGAGGAGGGTATCGTAAACATTTTCAAGATATTAGAATATTGTCAAATTGCTGGATGCATTGATAACCCTTTGAAACTCATCTTACACGCCACTGGATTGTATTATTATGTAGAAAATGTACAACATTTTTCATTTATTATATTATCTATATATATAAGATAAAAGTTTGTTTTCGACTTATAAGTTTGAATATCTCTTCGGTGTCCTTCGTCTTTCTTCTATTATAATTTTTGGGTAATTGAAAAATAATTTTAAACGTCATTGTCATAGGTGACCATTGACTTTTATACCCTTAAGTAGGTCATATGGTCAAATCATAATCACTGAAGACCTATTACTCACTGTGCTGAAGTTCTTACCATTAAAACATTATGATAAGATTTTCCATTCACGTTCTTTGAAAAAATATTGAAAAAACGGAACTCCAAATTAAATTCAAAAAAGGGGAATGTTCATAAAAACTGATGATATAAAAAGTTAGACTTTGTCAGATAACGGAAATAATAGAAAACATCTGTCATATTCCTTATTTGGTAGAAGAAAATTAAAATGGTCGGTTTAACCTGGTTTTATAGTCAAATCTACCACTTGTATGACAGATGCTTATCATGTTTAAAGTTCTGCTACATTGACAAAATTTGGTGAGAAAAACGATACAGACAGTATTTCCCATCCATCTTTTCAACCTGAAAAGTACCCTTAAATAGACCTCTATTCCCAATCAAATCTCATTATGCACAACTAGCCATTCAAGTATAGCTCATTGTAGAGCCTTGATTACATCCGACTTGCTGTTTCTAAAATAATACTGCAGACAAATGCAGATGCTAATGGAACCCGGAATAATATAACAAGAGGAGGAAGGACTGATTAAAACAATAAGTCCCCAAACTTAGTTTAGGAGACTGTTATATTAGTATTATTGTTTTCATCCGTATATATATACCTTGATCGTAAGGTCTGGTTTGATCAGGCGGAATGTATCTTGATCGACATACGTTTGGTTCGTCTCGAGGACTTGACACATGCATGACATTTCCATATGACACTGATCAACCAGCTTGTTATAGTATTCATCAAATGTCACCTTCAGACTCAATTCTTTACCTAAAAATGGATAACTAATAAATTTAGAAATATCATAACATTTGCGTTCAGCTTAGTCTGCTACTTTATATAAAGAATTTGAAAGCTAATACTAAATATATGTTATTTTACCTTGTTTGTTTGTTAGTTAGTTCACTAAGGTTTGAAGAAATTTTTCAAATATTTGTAAAATTTTGTAGCGTTTTGTTGGACTGTTTAAGAAGTAGTATGATTTTTGGAAACTATATTTTATACTCGTTAATCAATTGCACCTTCCAATTTTGTCCATTATACAGATCGAGAAACACATTCATTACGCAAAGGTACTCTGTTACATCAACCCTCATTCTTAAAATAAAATAATCACTCAACTCACTTTTATTAGCTCCTATTTTCTTTTTTTCAATAACTAATTTTTTCACACGTTTAGCTGTAATCCCGGTATAGAACATACTACTTGTATGTATACAACCAGAAAAGGTCCGTGTCTCGCTGCTATTATTGGTAATCTTCAAGCTAATCTCAAAATCTTTGCCATATGGATCTGTTTCTTTCTTCAGCAATTCAAATTGTACATCCTACATTGAAATATGTACTGTTCTAGACGGTTATATAACTATACGATATACAAGTGCGCTCATTTTCTGTCGTTTGTGCTTTCATGTGAAACACTGTTACTCTGCACAAACGTGAAACATTTACTCGGAACTAAAAAAAAAAACCCAAAAACATGTAACTGAGTAAAAATTCACATGTTTTAATTAATGATTTTGTACGGCTAAGTCTTGATTTTTCAATAATATATTCATGACTGTTCAGCGGATTAAGTTTTTAGGCAGAGTTGACCGATTCTGATTTTGCTTCATTATACAGCCTTGGTTTGGTTTCAGAGCGCTCTTTTTGTATTTAGTCCTATTTGATTGAGTGTTATTGATGAAAATTTTACAGGTTTATCTTACCCCATTTTGTACGCTTTTGAAATGATTTGTACACACAAGAAACCGGTGTATTATAAAAAGATGATAGTACAAATGCTTTTAGTGATTTTGTTATAAAGTTGAACAAGAATGTAAACCAGTGAAGGAAAAAAATTATGTTTTTTGTTAATTGTGTAACCCCTTGGAAGACGGAAGCATAATGCTTTGGTTGTATTTCTATTTCTGGTTCTAATGTCATTTTGTCCGGGCTTAAACCTGCTTTGTCTTTTGATTTTTACTATTGATATTTGGCTTATAACCATAAGATAATGTGATGAAATTCATCATGACTTTTTGGTGATCTTGATTGATATTTTGGGGCATTTTTCATATTAAGCAATTAGGTACATCAACTTAAAACAATGTGTAATATACCATTAAAGATGTTAAATGACATTCATCTTAAGAATATGTTCAGTGAAATATTATATATAGGACCTTTCAAGCGCAACTTAGGGTTTGGCCCAGGTGTTGTACCGAACCCCCCATATTTCAAAAATGTTAAAGATCTCAAAAATTATTCAGATCTCTACCCTTTAACCCTTTACATATTCTTACTAGCCCCTATAGGACCTTTATAGTGCACCATAGGGTTTTGTCTGCGGACGACAAACCACGCTCTTTTAACAATTATAGTAAAATATTTTGATCACTGAAAAGATCCTGTATATTATGAATTACCATAAGACTTTTACAGTGTACAATAGGTTTAGTTCTTTGGAGCCTGGACACATGCCTTATTATACCATTATTAGTTTAGATATCTCCTTAACTGTTCGGACCTTCATCCTTAAACCATATAAGTGCACTATGGATTGTCCCGGGGTGGGGGTGTTCATGATACGTCCGTCATATTTAAGACCTCCCCTCATTATTCATGCATAGTCCTATTTGACACGATAATCCCTTTCCAGTACTAAAAAGTGTTGTTGTGCCTTTCCTTTAGCAGAATGGCATCTGTCAATGACGCAAATAATTTGTGATGGGCCCGTAAAAGAGTTCAAATATTTAAAACATTAGATACTAATTATAAATTATAATATCATTAATAAAGCGCATACCATAGGTTTGCCTTCTTCATGGTAGATACCTTTCCTAGTAGATACTTGATTGGCGTTTATGACAGCTGTTCTTTCTTCAATCGAACCTTTTAAACAATGAGATAAATACTGGGTTGATAACTAAAGAAAGAAGTTGTGTACAATTACCATTCATCATCAATTATGAAAATATATAGCAAACTGCTTCTGATTCATTTCAATATAAAAGATACATTTGTTTTAAAAAACTATAATTGTTCTTATAGTCGTGTTTCTTTTTATTTACGTAAATCTTTACGTGGGTTGGTATTTGTGCATCCAGCTATCGGGGTTTTGGCTTTGAGCATTCCTGGTACAGGTGGGCCCAGAGGTGCAATTCGGACGCAAGAGGTTTTTAAAGTATTACTTTCATTTTGTGTACCCTTGTATATATATTTAACTTAATTTGTCCTTTATTAACTCGGATTAACTATCAATTGCAATAACGTTTTTTGCTGGCATCTTTGTCATATTTATTTGTTTGTTTGTTTGATTTTTTTAGTCAGTTTTTATGAAATTCAAGCTTTCTGCTTTGATCTTTGAGTTCTGTTTTTTTTTTTTATACTTTTAATGAACAAAGATGTATGTGCAACACTAAAGTAGAACTGTCTTAGATTCCAATAAATCTAAGAACTAAGTGAACTATAAATGTCTGTATACGTTAATATAGGGCGTGTTAACGTAGGATTTGTGTATTGTAACGGTACATAGGTATATATCCCATCCAAGTACAATCAGTAGGTTATATCAATTTCAAAGATAAATTTATTTGAATAAACTTAAGGTGTCCTTGAATAACATAGATGCATCTGATTTGCAATAAAGGGGCGTGCTACTAGTAAATCAAGTCTGAAAGGACGAGCTGTTAGTAGCTCACACCTTTAATATCAATCAGGTACACTACATGGTTAGTGGAATAGACCAAGCATTTCATGTTTCAGGAAAGAGAAACAACCTTCACAGCAAGATTTTATAATTTCCATAATATTTGATCATGTAAGACGTAAGTATTGTTTTTCTCGTTTTGTTTTTCCAAAATATACCGTATGTTTTAAAGAAAATTCGAACTGATGACATGGAAAATATTGTTATAACATGTATTTTAGATGTCAACTCATCGCATTTACTCATCCATGCACAAAAGTTAAAATCTTAATTTTCTTCATTAAAGGCTACAGTCGCATTTGTAGGTACTGTCTTCTTACCTATAAAGAACATATTTTAAAAGTTTAAAAGTGTTCAAATATTTTTCTTTATTAATCACCTCAGAAATGCTAGCGTTTTGTTTTACAGTCTTTGTTCTCTTTAAACATGTAATTCTTGTTTTGTACAATAACTAATAATAGATCGATGATGTTGGTGTCAGATAAGCTTTAAAGATCTGAGTACATGCGCCTTAAAGGGAAAATGCACCAACCATTTCACAAAGATACTTATTGGAATTAGAATCAATGCTATATGATAATTAACTGATAAGCATGCACCTATCATAAAGCTGCAATTATAACATGGATTTTCAGGAAGATAACATATCATCGTCATATTGAATATACCCCGACTATTACTAGATCAAAATGTTCTGTCAGATTTTTAAAGTAATTAGTTTGAGCTGACCGGGAAACGAACCAATCGATGCGACCCCGCTATCACGAAAACTCTAATTCAGCTAATTTTGGAAAAGAAACGTTTTGTTAGATTTCATTTAATAACAAATATATATTTGATGTCTGCATAATAATTGGCTTTCTATAAGATTTTGATTCATTACTAACCACGGCACTATAATTCTGTTCAAGTAAATCTAGTGAATATTCATTCTCGATAATGATACTAGTTTTTATCGATTATTTATTTTATTTATTTTTCTTTCTGAGATGTTTTATACTTTAGTTAATTCTGCATTGATAGAACACACATACAAAGCGTGTTTAATAAAATAGCTTACTAAAGGTAGTATTTAAAAATGTTATACATAAGTATGCCTCATAGATCTTCATGGTTATTTTTTAACATGTAAACTGATAACTATAAGGAGGTTAATATTTTACAAACATTGAACCTCAAAGTCCGATTGCATATTACTACCGTCTTTGGCTATTTAACAGTTGTTTGACAGTAGCTTTTCTAACAAATAACTTCCTAAAACATGATATATGTTTTACCTTCTGGATGTTTGTACTGATTGGTTACATCTTCACGATACCTATCATCGCAGAAATATTCCTTTTTTCCCACTGGTTTCCCTATTGGGAGTTTTGTACTAATTCGTATGCCTATGCTGGAATTAAATATGATAAATGTTAAACGAACACGACTAAAACATTAATTTGTGTATAAAATGTGAGTCATTGTAATGTGTTTTGCCCTGCCATTAGATTAATTATTGGAAGTTTTGAATCCCGATTCTCCTTTCATATCATATAATCCCGACAATTGATAATCTCTAGTAATGTTATATTTCCTTTATACTGTCGTCTTTTTCATTCAAAAGATTTTTTGTTTGCTTTATACCATAATCGATGTTTATTCAAACGAATGTTAGATTGGGCACTTTGTGTTTCCAACGTAATTTATACATCAACTATTAAATGCGAACACATGAATTGTCACTACAATTTCCCCCGTTAGCATACAGTTTTTAGAATTGAATAGTTTTACGATTTGAAATCACTGGTAGCTTGCATTCTTTTCATACGGAAGAAAGAGCGGCTGATACTGGCAGATTTTCAACATAACCACTTCTTCTTTCAAAGAAGGCAACATTGGTAGAGAAAGTTTTGTTATAAAAGTTGTCTCCAATATTTTCTTGGTCTTCCAAAAAAATATGCTTGGTGGTATATTTTTCAAATTGTTTCGAACTAAGGAGGACACATTTTTTTTCATTTCTGGATGATTGCTGATGGCAAGATATGTCCCCTTTCTAGTTGTTTAGGGAAGCGGAGCTAGACAAAATTTTGATATCAGAAAGGTTGTCTCCAATATTCAAAATATGGTCTTCTAAAACTTATGATTGGTGTTTTTGGAAAAACTTTCAGGTTGTATGGGGAAGCGGAGCTAGAAAAAATTTTGTTATCATAAAAGTTGTCTCCATTATTCAAAATATGGTCTTCTAAAACATATGATTGGTGGTTATGGATAACTTTTTAGGAATAATAATGTATATTTTTCCAATTGTTTAAAACTATGAAGGACACATTCTTCTTATATCTGGATGATTGCTGAGTGCAAGATATGTCAGGTGAGCTCCTCGATGATTGTTTTAATTCCAACTGTTTTGATACAATTGACCCTGACGAGTCTGGTGTAGACGAAAAGCGATTCTGGCGTAGCAAATTATAAGCCTGGTTTCTTTGGTAAATTTTTTAAACAACCACTGGTCGATGCCATTAGTGGTGGACGTTTCGTGTCCAGGTGTATCACCAGCAAAGTAGTTCGCACTTTTCTGTTGACAGGATATGTCATGGAAACGTTTATTTTCTGTAAATCTACTGTTTGTCAAATATTAATTTATTAAAGGTTTTCTAACCCTAGACATAGATTGCCATAGCCGTACTTGGCACAGCGTTTCGGAGTTTTTGGGGTTTTAAATGCATTTCAAATTCGTATTTGATTTGGCTTCCAATTGTTTTGGTTCGAGCAATACCGATATGTCTGATGTCAAGCGTAGCAAATGATCAGCCTCGTATCTTTGATGATGTTTTATTCACACTATAGAGGTGCACAAATGTCAATTTTGAAAACAGTCTGACGTTTTAAACTTTGGGAAATTCTCACGTTTTTTTATAAATTTTGTCCACTGAAACGTTAGCAACGGCTTTACTTAAAAGATATAGGATTTTCATCAACATTGTAGTATATGCATGACATCTGGTATCAAAGCATCGTATTTGATAAGGTTGTTGTTCACGTTGAAATACTTATTGAAAGATTTATGAAAATGTGTTTATTTTAGTAACATTGCTCATCGTCATGTAATAAAATTTAGAGATAACTGTATTGTATTTGAAGCTTTGCGGACGTCCATCGGTAGTTTTACTGTCGCAAATTTAGTTTACCTGGCGACGCGTAGCATTATTCTAATGCAAAATAAACAATTCATTCAATTTTAGTAATTATTTTAGTGTAATTTTTTCATTAAACGAAAATTCCGCGAAATGATGTTATCTTCTTAAGTGCCTAAACTAGGTGACGTCATAGGTATGCTTCCGGCATCAAACGTAAACACCGGGCGTTTTCTGGCTTCTTGTCCGCTTTAAAATGTAATAAAATTTGATAAAAAGAAGATTTCTAGGTGCAAAATGTGAGTTTTTTTTATTATTATTGGAGAAATTACATCTCAATAGAGGGTCTCAATACATTCCGGAATTCAAAATGTCGGCTTCCTTAGTTACAGACAGGGAGATAAAGAATTTTACGCTTATTGTCATCCAATCAGAACCATTGATATAAAAAATAATTGCATTAGAATTCTTCTTTATCTTTGGCATAAAATGTTTTGGGTTTGAGCGTTCCTGAGGTTAAACCAGACAATTTCCTTGGTCTGACCAAAGTTATATAGTGTTATTTTCATTTTCAATAGCCATTACTTGATACCACACAAGTTCCCTAAAACAAATTGTATCATAATTTAAAATATTTAACGTCATAATTAAAAAGAGATTGTTGCATGAAGTCCAAAGATTATTCGGAGACAGATCTAGGGACATTCGTAGACTAAATACCGAAAAGGTTAAATACGTCTACTGTATACTGTTTTTACTTTTTCTTTAACGTTTGAAGGCGAATGCATATTTTTAAACCCAACTTTTATATGTGATGACTTTTATCTGACAGTCTTTTACAACATACATTTTTCTTTTTTTATTATTGTTTTTTAATTAAGGAACCAGCAACCATATATTTTTTGAAAAAAGCAAAATAATAGTTACTTTAAAATTGATGATATACATGTTCATGTTGCTTCACTGTTCTTATAAAATTATCTTTATGAAACAAATTGAAACAAATTATCATAAAAGAATAATTTTGTCCTGATGACTTTTGGAAAATTAATTGGTTTTGATGCCACCTACCTATTTTTGCTTAGCTTAATTTTTGTGACATCCCCAAATTCATCCATTTTCCATTTTATTCTGTCAGCGTTCAACTCAGCGAAGATAAATGGTGTATCATAGGGAAGGTAGACCTCGCCGCTTTTGATTGCCGCTAATGGTGCAGGTCCACATCGATAAATACCTGATTTAGTGAAATAAAAATTAAAGTAAAATATAAGCAATATATTAATATCAATGGCAACAAAACAGTATGATTTTATGTAAATAACCATCATCCGTTTTTATCAAATTTACTGTTCTACTTAAAAAAAAGTAATGCACTGACAATTTTCTTTTCATTTATCAGCTTTGAGTACAGTTTTAAATTTAGAAAGATATATCAATGGCTTACATAAAGTTTTTCAATATATTAAAATTTCTTTACAAAATCCACAAGATATATCTCATGTTGTAAAATATTTCAGAGTTATTCAGAAGAAAGCAAAATTTATACAATCTAGACCTTGTTTATTTTAAATCATAAATGAAAAATGAACATCTGAGATCAACGTCAATGAGTATATAACTGAAAAGCACACGGTAACTAGAAATATAAATCTAAAGATCACCATGCGGTCTCCAATGCCCGATCAACAAGTATTCATTATATTGTAAGCTATCCTAATGGGTGGCATCAAGTATATCAAACGTTAGAAATTCAGCACTGACGACGAATATATGGAAAGCATACATATATTTCTGACGAAAAGCCACACAAAAACTTGATTCAGGGATATTTCTTAACCCTAGGCCGATTATTTTGACCAGTGAACAAACGTGAGATACAAATAAAAGTGGCAAAATAATCAATAAAGAAAAAGTTAAACCATACAGGTATAACAAAATATTCACATACATGTACTACAAAATAAAAACAACAATTAAAGATACAGTATCAACTGATGTTCGCAGCTATTTAAAGCAATACCTATCAACAAGAATGAAAAATATATTTAACTCACCATCACTGGCTTCTTGTTCTGTACCATCTATAGCTTGCCATCCGCCGTAGCCTTTTGGCAGATCTGGTCTTGCCATCCATACATCGTTCCAAACATGGAAATTCCTTCAATTACAAAAACGAATAGAAAATTGAAACATATCGTGTCTATATTTGCGCTATCCGAAATCATTTTGTTGAGAAGACCATCTGTACTTCATAAGTAGTAAAATTGGTACCGTTAATGTTATGTGTTACAAAACAAACATTCGGAACTAGTCAATTAATATGAGTCTGAAAAAATCGTGTTATCCGACCACACTCTGGAATGTCTGAATATGAATAATTGTAGTCTGGTTAAAGTAGATACTACTATGGGGTGGTTAACGACATTGCATTGACTACTTAATTTGAAGGTCAAGCACGGTCGGTTTCTGAAAGTAGATGTGTGTTTTCCGACATCTTGTATTGTAAAATAGCAGAACACAATCGGTTTTGATTTTTAATGAAATATGCACATTTTGAGACAGGAGTGCAATAGATTTGTAATATCTTTCATTAAAATTAAAAAAAATTATGCGATTCATTTCATTATTACACATGGTATTACAAATAAAACATATTTTTTTGGTTTGTTTTTTTGCAAGTTCTGATAATATAAAAATAAGAAGATTTGGTATGATTGCCAATGAGACAACTCTCGACAAGAGACTGATAAAATCCTTGTTTAGCCCACTTCCAAATTCAAATGTTGTAACTCTATACATGTAGCCAGGGCCATAAGAAAAAGGTGTCATTTTGAGTCTGTCATATATATTATGTTGCCTAGCAACGCTTGAAATGGTGGTGGTGAAATTAGGGAATAAGTGAAAAATACAGACTAATTTCTTTATTATTTCGATTTATTCTTCATTGAGGTTATACACGAGTCAATTAACAATGCAATGAAAATACTGTTTGCCAAAATACTGTAACTTCTGCCTAGCAACTAATATGTATATATTGTTTAATTCTGTCATTATCAAGCATATTCTGGTTGAAAGTCTTGACCATTACTGATACAACATAATTTTTTAATGATCGTAATCTATGTATTAATGGTAAATTATTTAGTCAACGATTTCGTTACCACAAATTACTTTAAAACCTTTACTACCTTATTTCATTGATACAAATATTTTTTTTGGAAGTTTGGCTGTAGAAAACTGATTAAAAAGAGATCGTAAATTCTTATTGTTACGGTGATGTTGTTTATCGAGCATGTAAATTTATTTACGACCCTTGTAAAATTATTGATCCGTTAAATAAACTATCCAAAAGGTTAACAATTAAAAACTGTAATTAGATCTTTAGATATTGTTTTGATCGGTAAAATATTGATTTTGTTATCCATTGATTACAACCCATCTAAATATTATTGTTATACACCTAGGAACCTTCACGGTCCTACATATTTTCGTTTTGTTGTTACACTATTTTCCTAGGATAAGGGAGGGTTGGGCGCCTAAAAACATGTTCAACTTACAAATGTTTAGTCGAGCTGATTCGTGCATATTTTTAGAAGAATTTTGGGTTTGATGATAAAATTATGAAACTTTGCACAATTGTAGATATATATTTGGTAGTCAATTTATGCTATGGACCACTCTGAAAAAACCAATATGGCGACCATTTCCGAGATGTCTGCCAATCAGCCCTAATTTCACAACCATGTATAAATTAAAGCAAATATTGTTCAAACCAAATCTTTTAAAAACATAAAAAATGTACTCCTACGTTTCTAGTAAGTCATGACGTTATATTAGACTTTTTATTTTTTTCAAAATGGCGGAAAATTTCAAAATGGCCCTCAAAAAGTGAAAATGAACAAATCTAAGACAAGACTAAGTAACATCTGAGTCACAAATGATAAATAATATGGTCCACTTCTCCTTACCACAATCCTTTTATCCTCCTCGAATTGTGGTAACATCAAGATAATTAATAAATACAACTTATCACCAAATTTCTACTTGCACGAGTGCTACCAGTTGGCCAGAAACTACACACCCTTACGGAACACCTGCGTCGACCCCTAGTTTTGATAAAAAGGGATTGGTGTTGTTTATGCTTTCAATGTTCTGTTTTTTGCTTTTTATTGTTCAATGTCTGTGTTGTCAACTAGTGAAAGTCTCGTTTATCCATCGTACAAGCATGGAAAACATTATTTCATTTCAAACGTTTACATTCGGTCAAGTTTTAGATAATTTACATGTACCAACGGTTTTTACATGTTTTCAAAATTTTGTGATTCTAAGGATTAGAAAAGAGACATTTACAAATCCACTATAATATGATATATGGCTAATTACTGGTAATGACTCATCAATTTATTTAAACAAGAGCAACTAGGTTAGTGTCACTTGTTGAACAGGAACTGCTGACCCTTCTTGATCACCTGAGATCATCCCCGGTTTTTAGTGCGGTTTGTGTTGCTCTATTCTAATATTTTGGTGTAGTGATTTCTGGTTTTGTTGTCCTAATGATTTTTGAGTGCCTAAGTATCTTTTCCATCCTTTTTGTCATCTATAAAACAATAACATATATTCACAGCAGATTTCACAATGCCATTTAGTCTTTGCCCCACTCACTACCATATGTTAAACAGGACCGTACAGAACATCATTGTTCTCGCATATTTTCATCTACCGTGACATCCGTTTTATATCTGTCAACCACATTTTATTAGCTCATTAACAAATTCTGATACTTTTGTGATAAATGTCCAATAGGATATATGCCATCCACATTCACCCGAAGTAGCACTCTGGGTAAAAGACCAAAACATCCCCCGCCTAAAAGCTTTCACATGCTTTGAGATTGTTGTGTGTTTGCTTTAAAACCGTTCCTGTTGTAGAACATCATGTGGATTACCTGACCACGTTATATTATTTCAAAGGTGGATTGAAACTTGTTAATTCCTATGGCAATTTCTAGACAAAACACTATTAAATACTGTAGTTGTGCAATATTGATGGTCATTCTGCTTGCCTCACCTTCTCCTTTTACAAGTGTGTAATTCTACTCATGGGTTTGATCTACATTTACTTTTCACATAATGTTTACAACACTTAAATTCTAAAGTTGAATGACAAAATATCGCGCACAGGTCGAAAAATGCAAAGAACCAATGAATAAACAGAATAATGGAATCTTATACACCTAGAAGGAACATTTTCTTAATGATCTCACATCCAAATGTCCAGTTTAATCTTTAACGTTACAGATCTAGACCAGTTGTGGTTAAGTTGACTCTCAATATCCCTCTTATTACTCCATTCTTCTCACCAGGGTCTCGTTCCTCAGTATAAATTATGTCAGGATCTTTGCATAAGAATGAGAAGTACACATTCTGTAACCTCATGGAAATGTCTTGTTCAGGATGCATTAGAGCCTCTAAAAGAATCTGGTGTTCGTTAAGTACTATGTTTCCTTGATTGAACACTTGTTCAGACACTGTTTTCTAACCAATCTCATAAGGTTATCAACGATATAGACATAAAAACAAAACTACTCTTTGTTCTACACATATATGTTTGCCCAGTTCCACGGTTCCGATTTTGCAAAAGCAAAAAACGATTGATCACAAGTGATAATTGATACATCATGATGTCTTGGAAACAATTACTGTGACTTGACTATAGGTGTTGCTGTTTACCTTTACCTATTGTTCAACCAGATTGTATAATTGACAATACAATTGGGACATTTAAATTGATCAGTTGGTATTGTTAAGAGTTGACAATAGGTAATCACTCACGCATTTACAGTCTACCTTGATGCTGTCCCATCACTTTACCTGTTCAATTGTCACTTTTTTGAAAAACTTATCTATGTGGCATTTAGGTTTCAAGTTTTATCTTTGTGAAATAACATAACATGCCTACAGTTTAAATAAGTATATATGGTATGAAAAAAGCTAGAATATGGCCACAATATGCAAAATTATTCCATGTTCTAATATTTGCTAAAGATTGCAGATTTGTTCTTAATAGAATTTCCTCATGTTTTTCTTTAGAGAATCCTAAAATAAGTAAAGGGAATACACAATGTAATTACAGTCTTTTTCATTGAAATGAATGTATTCCTTGAAGTAATTGGCCATACAATTTACAGAGAAACACAACATTCAGAAGAAAAAGGAGATATTTTTATTTTACTGTCCTTTCAAATTTCAAGAGTGAGCAAGCCAGAACAAGAATATATATATATATGTGGTTTTTTTCTTGCAGAGTATTAACTTGCATGTCATATAATGCACTACATTTCCTTTGGATGTTTTCATATTCAAATACTATGATTGCTTGGATTTCTTTTATATTGTTGAAAAAGACCTCTTTTATCTCATTCGCTCTTTCTAATGGGAGATAACTCAAAAGATTTATATTTTACTTTCGTGGAAATCTTAATTATTTTATAATTTACATAATTTTCCAGGATTAAAAACACCAGAACATATGTGTGCATTCCGTCGTTTAGACATTTGTTCAATACTTATTGACACGAGCCTTATACAAAGTGTTCATGCATAGTGAAATATAAAAAAATAATAGTTATGAATAAACTGGTTTATTAATTTATTTATTGACACTGATATTTGATATCCCAGCCAGTATTCGAGTTTTCACTATTTGAAGTAATGCTATTTGAAGTAATTTTTGAACTATTTTCCTAATTCTATTAACTTGTTGGAATATTTTCTTACTTTTTTTTATCACTAGATTTTTTTTCTATATCCACAGTATTCTGTTTAACTTCCCATGATATATATATCCCAATAAAACAGACACAGAGTCTTTATATTAGATCCAGAATTTTGTAATTTTTTATCATTTCCAATATCACATTGAAAATAATTGTCCTCACTTTACAAATTTTTTGGAGTATTTTATTTATATTTTACACTTTATCACTTGATTTTACTTTATCTACAGTATTCAGGTTTTATTTCATTTCCCATGATATATGTCCCAATTTAACAATATTAGATCGATAACTTTATAATGATTATTTCCAATATCACATTAAAATTGTTATCCTCACGTAATGATTTTTTTGGAATATTTTACTTTTATTATTCACTTTAGCACTTAAGATTTGACTATATCCACTGTATTCACATTTTATTTCAATTCCATGATACATATCCCATTTAAACAGGTGAATCATCTTCATATTAGATCCAGAACTTTATAATGATTATTTCCAAAATCACATTTTTTTTTTTTTTTTTAAACATTTAAAGACACAGAAACATGTTGGTTGAACTTATTTCTCCTACTTGGGTTCAAGTTTTGAATTTTTTTAATTTTTAGATTAACTAAATCATAACTTATAAAAAGTGAGTTTCCTTGAGTGATCAGTTTTTTTTAGCACAAAAATCCTAAATGATATCAAAGAAAAACACTGCAAGTATAATCCAAAATTATTTTGGCTTTTACATGTACATCATCATGTGAAAGCCACACAAAACATTTTGAATGAATTATTTTCTCCTTGTTACATTCATGACAATCCATTCAAAGTCACATTTTACTAGTAAGAAGCAAAATTAAATGCATCTATGAATTGAATTCAAATGAAATAAATCCCAATATTTTATGCAAATTGATTTCAATAGATTTCAAACACTGCGAATAAAAATCCATAATGAAAAATTGGAAGGGACATATGAAGAAACACAAAACATATTCATCTGAAAACTAAAACTGAAAACACCTGAATAGCTATTTCTTGTTTCACTGACAACTGGACAATACTATTTCTAAGGGTTAAAAATTTAAAGATTCATTAATTATGTAAAAACAGTTTTAATTTTCATACATATTAAAATGCAGTTCTGAAAAAATTTTGACTGATTTAACTCATCTATATCAGTATATTCGGGGCTTAAAACAATGAAAACCAATAATATTTTCTTCCCTATCAATTTTATAATGAGTAACCCTAGGTGAAGAAAAACTTCAGGAAAAAGGCATGCTGTAAGGTTGGGTTAGGTGAATAAAAATCAGTACAGGTAGCATCAAGGTAGTCTCAACTCTTAACAACACCAACTGGTCAATTTAAATGTCCCAATTGTATTGTCAATTTTACAATCTGGTTGAACAAAAGGTAAATGTAAACAGCAACACCTATAGTCAAGTCACAGTAATACATTGCTGGATAGTATTCATGGAATGTCGAATCGTTGTGACAGATTTGATCTATTCCTGAAACATTGGTCAATTCACACTGATATGGAAAGTCGGGTGACCATTGTCTTGGCTCCCGACACATTTAATGTTTTCAGTATTATCTGCTTCAAGCCATCTTTGTTATCATTTTGTTAACTTATTTATACCATGTAAGGATAGAGTTGCAAAACTGACTAATTATACCAGGTTGGTATACATGTATTTCTGGTTAGACAATTGACAGAGTGTATGTCCATAAACGGTTATTATGTAAGTATGAAACGCATTGTTGTATTTGGTTAGTATTAAGGATATGTCTTTTTCTATAGTGAAATATAAACTAAGTTATAGCAATAATACGAACAGTTGTGCTGGCGTATAATGTATTTGTTAAAGTACCAGATATTCAAAGGGAAATACATATATAAGGTTATGACGAATTTGCCAAGTTAGACTAAGAAAATGCTGAAATATTGAACTATGTAATATGTAACGACTCTTCAGCAGTAGTTGAACTCTTGTTGTTGTCAATATTGTAAATGGCTGCTGTTGTAAAACCACCAGATTTCGCGGGAGGAACCGCATATTCATTGTTGAATGTTTCATAAATGGAATCTTCTAGTACTGTAGATAAATGGATAATTGGATCATTCGAAACGATAAACGTAAACAGTACATTTTGTCATTTAGTACCTCCTTTTCTGGTCCTAGCATCAAGTTGAAGGCCATATATCCATTCAGAGATGGTTTTAGTTCAGTTGAATGTAATGTTAAAGAAGAAAAGAGAAATAAAACAGAAGTAACTTTGAAATGGATAACGTCATAGTTGCCTCAATGGAATAATTCGACTGCATCTAATATTTGGCAAAACGATTATCAACTAATGTTTTAGTGACTGTTGAAAAGACTTTTGTCTCAATCATGTCTTTTTGAAATACCTGCATGTGCAGCTTTTTCAAGTATCGCTGTCATTCAAACAGATTGTTGCAACACCAAAATAATCACTAAACAGAAGAAGAATACACCTGGCTTGTTTTTTGTATTTTTTTGTATTTGTTTTTTTTTTTTTTTTTTTTTTTTTTTTTTTACAATGATAATTGATTTGTTGGTCTAAAGCTGTTACAATTACCTTGTTGCTACAGCTTTTACGAACTAGGTACCCTGATAAATTAATATCTTTAAGAACAGGATGACTTTATAATTGATAGTTAATTACATAATTTAATACATACATATATATATATATAAATGCAAATCATCTAAATTGGTAATAACGTTTTTTTTTCGGATTAGACCTTTACTTTTCCATCCTTATACAGTCTGATACATACTTTACTCGTTTAGAAAAATCGTGCGTGTGTCCAGTGTGATCAGATAATCATAACCTGACATGATTGAAGGATATAGTGTTTGTGTTGATCTTATTAGTTATGGATTATAATCAAAAGGTAAGGTATTGTTAATTGCCTGGCAAGTCTGAGATTACTTCAATTTTAAGATCATCACTATGTCCTCTTCCAGTTGAACACAGACAGAGAAAACTGTTCGAATCGAGAAGTATACCTTCTATTTAAGTCTAGCTTAAATATTGGAATAACGCCAGTGTCTATACGTGATCCCTCGTTGTAGACAACTGTTCTGCAAGAATGGTACCGTACGATTTTCTATACTTTCCTCACAAATCTTTTGGTGTTTAGTTTTAGTATATATATGTGGCATACATTTGGTATTATACATGTTATAGGACACTTTGTTTTACTGAACGTACGTCAAAACAAAACACTATGTAACCTTCTATAAGGGTATTTTGTTGATTTTAGTATCTTATGGCGGGCAAAATTATGTATCATATGAATAATTTTCATATTAACAAAAACATGTTGTTCAATGTAGCAAAGCGCTTAATAATGTTGAAATGTACCATTTAAGCAAATATTTGTAATGCTTTTTAAATTTGGTGCGTCCAAACCGCTGTTCTGGTTACACCTTCATTAGGAACGGTAAAAATCAAAATATTGAAACTCAAGAATGAATTAATTCTTGATGAGCTATATAATGTGAGTAAAAGAGGCTAAAAGGAATACCCTAACAGTCTAAAGTTAACTTCGCCTGAGGGAGTTGAAACCTTAGATTCCTAATAATTTCTAATTGATCAAAGGAGAATGTATTAATCATGTCAGTACCAAAGCAGTCTATCGAGCTTATGGTATCATTAGGGGCCAATAGTCCGTCAGCAGCGTAGTAAAACCAGTGCTAGGAAATTATAATATTTTATAAATTATGTGCGTCCGAAGACATAAAAATAGTAGCCAAAACATTTCAATAATTGATACAAAGGAATAGACAAATGAGCGAGGTAATTTTAATCACATGCAATCTCATGTTTAACTTACCAAACCTTTTCTGTAATTAGATCTTCTATTGGTTCTCCGGATACATCAACGAAAGTGTCAATAGAAATAGAACCATCATTGTCATGTGCAGATTTGAAATTTGTCACACTTCTAACTGGTATACCCAGGGTTCTACAAACTGTTGATAAAGTTAATACAAAAACGAAGAAACTGTAGTGCTATTTGTATTTCGTTAGCATGCATATTGAAGAATGTACATGTTTTTGTTTCCTTCTGTTTGGAATTGGGAGTAGGAGGGTAAATGGACAGCATTGTGTAAGTTAAGAATATATTAATAAATAGAACGAAATGAAAATAACACTTTATTGTATTTGTATAAAGAGCAGTATTTTGTATTTACCTTCATCAGGAACCCTCAAAGCCAAGACTGTATAAGTACCGAATCCAATTTGCCGCATGGAATTGGAACGTTAGTTTCTTATAAGTTAATAAATCTCGAAACGGACAATAAAAGAAAATATGATATAACTCCTATCAGAACCGAAGAGCTACTGAGCTGAACTATTAATTGGACCATGAAACACTGTCTTGTGCAAAAAATTTTAACCAAATTAATAGAAAATATTACCAAATTATAATTAATCTTAACGGAACTTTTCTGAAATACGATCAATATCTAAGATCCCTTCTAGAATGTATTTACAATATTCACAAAAAGGGTTGCATAATGCAATCACCGTGTTTGTGTATCTCTGTGTGTACATTACTTTTATTTCACATTACGTACCTTCGTATAAAAGAGATGTTTGAAAGCTGTACTGAAACGTTGTGCCGTGGTTGTATCGTGTAAGCGATATTTAGATCTTTCGGGAAGTAACTTCCTAACTGAGGAAAATATTAATTTTTAATACCCATTGAGCATTGCAATTTGCGTCATTTTCAGAGCAAGTAGGGACCAACTTTACAATGAATTGTGTGGAACTTAGTTCACGAAGTATATGTATTATTATGGTTGGTGTAAAAGAAAGCAAAATGTCATTGTTTAAGGTTTTTAGTAGTTACCAAGCACTAGCAGGCGACCATTTTCCTTTACAAATAAAGTTGTAAATTAATCTCAATACTGCAATATTGATAAGGTATACCAATATCGTCCCTTAGTATCCTGCGTCCACTGTAGGCGAATGACGACATTGAAATAACTGATTTTGTCGACACATCCTATCTCGCTCTGTTAGGCGATTCTTTCCGTTTTGTTTGTTACATTGATTTGTATCTTTTTAGTGGATTTATTAAATTTGAAACATCAGTACACAGTTGTTGGCGTAATTGTTATTAACGATAGGTAAATTTCAAATGTTTACGTCAGAGTTCATTTTTGGTGTACTCTTTTACGCAGTGAAATTTCTACCTCGAAAAAACGCACAAGCACTAATAATTACACAAATAACCGTTTAGTTTTTAAATTACATTTAAAGAAAACGTGAAACCTACGCAGTGAAATTTCTACCTCGAAAAACCGCACAAGCACTAAGAATTATACAAATAACCGATTAGTTTTTAAATTACATTTAAAGAAAACGTGAAATCAAAGTATATTTATTTCAACTCGCTAAGAAACGGGAGATAGAATCCGTGTTTTGCTATTTTTGTCCAGGCCCTTAAACTCGAAAAAAATTAAAAATATATTTTCTGGAAATGTACGTTTATTGAATTATGTATACTAACCTTACTTCACTGCCACGAAAACTAATAAAGAGAGGTTTCAACTTACGAGTTGTAGTAACACCAGAGAAAACCCAGCATTGTCCGAAACACACAGGCTCTTTGGTTTGATAATATTCTTGCAAGATGGCAATACTTCCAACCCAATGCCAAGGTGTCTTTCCGCCGTCGAAGTTATCTGTCCAGTTACCGACTAGAACACCATTTTCGTCTGCTTTGTTAACCTGCCAACACAAGATTTTGGTTGAAATTTGGCAGGTCTGAACTTACTTAAATATTTAAATTCAGCAAATGTTAGTCAAAATTAATTTTTGAATAAGGCTATTCAAATACGATGCATAATTTGAGAATTGTTTCGAAAAAAATGTAGACCGAAAATAATACTGAAGTAAATTTTAGGAATGTTACCGCAATTTTTGTATTAGAGCAGAGCAGATAACGACAATATTGGCTTGAAATCTTGAATAAAGAGATTTGAATTTAATTTTACAATGTAATGGAATATCTTGTCCTGTCGTCTTTCTAAGTCTTATATACTGAACAAAAGAAAGGAATGGAACTCGTATGAAAGTAAGAAGACGTTGTATAATTGCCAATGAAACAAATCTCCACCTGAGACCAAATGACATTGAAGTTAACAACTATAACTCACCGTACGGCCTTCAACAATGAACAAAACCCATTACGCATAGTCAGCTATAAAAGGCCCCCAGAAAACTAATGGCCTGATTTATGTAAAAAAACAATGAACGAAATACAAATATGCTATACAGCAACAAACGACAACCACTGAAATACAGGCTCCTGGTTTGGGATAGGCACATACTGAATGTGGCCGAGTTAAACATGTCAGCGGGCACCCAACCCACCCATTAAACTGAAACAGTGGTGTAACAGTACAACATATGAACAAATTATAGCAATCAGTTGAAAAGGGCTTAACTCGTCATATCTATACAAAGCAGAAAAACAAGTAACAAAAACACAGATCGGACGTGGCAGGGTATTTATACATTCCTACAACAAAAAAGACACTAATTACTGTAACAGATCTGCGAGTACTCACAGTTACTGACAGTAAGTTCAGAGCCAATAACAACTAATAAAATAATTATGTATCTAAGACTAAAATATTAATCAGCACACATCCAACGTCCAATGGATTTAGTGTAAAGACGTCATTAACAGTCAGAGAAAAACATGACCTTGTGACATAATCTGTAATAGTACATGCAGTTTAAAGAACATGTAATTATTGTATTTGTGTAGAAATCATTCAGCGACATCCCTAATTAAAATGTTTTTAATTTTAGTGGCAATCCTCTTAACGACATATTCACAAACATGATGGTGTGGCTACTTAGGGCATAACCTCCATTGGGGGTTCCAGAAATTACCACAAGTTCTTGCAATATCAATATTATGCGTCTATTTTTTTGTTCAAAATATAGAGAGGCATATTTGACAATTCTGAAACAACAAAAATGGGGAGAATAATAAAAAAAAACCATAACTTGAGTAAAGGAGAGAACACCATGACAAAAATAAATGACGAATAGCAATAACAACTCACAAAGCATCAGATTAAACGTTCATCAACACCAATCCAACAAATATCTGAAATTAAACAGTATGTGATCTACCTCGATTTTGTCATCTCAGTACAAGAATCTATGATAAACGAGACGATTTTAATTTTGAAATTATAAATTCCCCCACCTTAGCAGCAATATACCAACTTCAACTGCATATGGGGTATACATTTCCCAACTCATTCGGTATTCAAGAGCTTGCAGCTGCTACTCAGACTTTATAAAAGGTCACCAGTGTCTGAGAAGAAAGTTGACGAACCAAGGTTATGTTAAATAATGTCTCGTCCTTTTTCTAAAAAAAAAATCATCGGAAGATACCAAGACCTTGTTGATAAATATTCCGTATCAACTTCACAAACAGTTCACGATGGTCTTGAAGTATATATTATAGATACGTTGTTTATCATCTTAACTGCGTGTTATATTGTTCTTTTTATTGGCTTTTTATATTTTCAACCTTTACTGTTTAGTTCATGTTTTGTGATATACTTTTGGCGTTGATCGGTTTTTATACATCCCGCCATTTTGTTCTTGTGCTATTGTCATTTTTTTGTATTCTTGTCTTTCATTTCTGCTCATGTGCTTTGTCTATAGAGTGTATGTATGACAATTAGTTTTTCTTTGTTGACAGAGTGGTTGTCTTTATAATGATTAAGATTATAACACAATGTTGACTGCTATACCTAATATGTCGGTTTGTTTTGCTCACACATTGTTGTCAGTATAATGGAATTCAACGTGACTGTTGTACAAGTGAGAGGTTTAGCTAGCTATAAAACCAGGTTTAATCCACGATTTTCTACATAAGGAAATGCCTGTACAAAGTCAGGAATATGAGTTGTTTCACATTCGTTTGATGTGTTAGGGCTTTTTATTTTGCCATTTGATCCGGGACTTTCCGTTTTGAACTTTCCTTGAAGTTCGGTATTTTGTTATTTTAATTTCTACTATTGTCACACATCGAGTTGTTTTTAGCAAACAAACATTCAGTGATTAGTCACATTCTGGAATGTCACAATAGAGGATGATAAGAAGATGGGATTGTGACTACGACAAGTGAACATATCCTTGGTCATCGGTGACTAAGATATTCTATTGAAGTCAACAAAATCATGATAACGTATGTAATCTGTTGAATTGACCCTCTATAGAAATCAATCAAATTAACCCAGGAAGCACATGGTATCCTGTGTCGACACTTTAATTACCAACAGTTAACTGATTTCTCTGTTCATATTTATATCTTACATCTCCCTCTTTTTGAGATACCTACATATCAACAGAGAAAGATATGAGGTTCATGTTAATCAGAAAGAATATCATATAGTCAGTATAAGTGTATTATTTAGAATTTGATGATTGTCTTTACATACCACTGCTGATATTTTTCTTGACATTTTGACTGGATCGCCCCTAGCAGACCAGAGAGTTACATTTCTATCTAGCAGATACATGGCACAATCAAGAATATTTTCTTCAAACTTGTAAATGAAGAAATTCAAAATAAAATAAATAAACAAACAAATACTACCAGATTGCACTGCCGGTTTAAATCCTAATAAAAAAAAATTAAGTACACATTTAAAATTCAGTTGCGCTATTTTAGCTTGGATTATTAGCTATAGAATTTGAATTAAATCTATTTGATTTTTTGATAAATGAATAATGGTGAAACATTATTCTTTACATGATATAATAAAGATACAGTATGCGGATAGTAGTTGCCCAAAGACAAAAGCTGTTTTATGCATAATCGAGTATAAAATAATATCGTCTCATTTTTCTTCAAATACTGCTTAAGATCAACTTGATCATAAAATATGCTGAATGAAATGTTTTCAATTCTTAAATTATTTGGTTAAGATTACTTATGTAAAGATGTATTTAAACGTTTACATATCGTATTATATCATTTAATTACGTTTACCTGTCCAAAGTTCCATTTTTGTCCATGTATTTCGTGTTTTTCTCCAGTATAGATTCTACCCTTGTCATTTAAGATATACTCATTTAACAATTCTTGTTCAGGAAGATATACCTGGTCGTCTATAAAAAATAAAAGAAATTACATTAGCAATTCTGGGTGATCATCTTAAACGAGCAAACATGCCAGCGGAGCTCAAAAGCTAATAACCCTGATCTTTTGGTATAGATAAACAGGGGAATATAATAAAGGATTATTCAAACTCATAAATCGAAGACAGACTGACAACGACATGTGTATTGTGAGGTAAATCTTTTTTTGCTAAAGAAAACTAAATACAATCTTCGCTTCAAAAAAGAAATTCATAACAGCATAATGCGATTAGGCATATCGGGAATACGAAGGAAGTGTTACACGAATCTAGTCCAGGTTTGAGATCATATCAACTTTAACGGGAAGCCCAATAATCCTCCGGATAACTAAAAAACAAAACGAAAAAGCTACCAAAGTCCCTCTCTATTTTAATTGAAAATTCACCTTGGCAGTAATATATGCTTCATATTGAATAAACAACAAAAATGTTTTTCAGTTCAGTAGTTTTCATCAAAATATGTGTTCATCCTCTTATACATTAATAATGCTCTCTGCTAAACTAGTAAGTATAGTAAATAATGGCAAGATGACGTATACCAGTTACATTTTCATTGCAAAGATGTTCAACAGATGTCAAAGTAAACTATAAATGGACGATTGAATGATACCCCTGTAGAGTAACATCGAAATTATCAGGATTGTTGCATTCGAAAAAAAACTCTATTCTTGTTAATTCAGAATCTGAATAAATGTTAACAAACTTCTTTTACTTGAATTATAAGAAATGAATTGGAAAATTTAAAGTTGCCGCGATGCAGCTTGAAACCACTGCAGAAGAGCACACCCCAATAAAACAAACTATATTCTGATCATGAGCTTTCATATTTTAGGAAATCAAAACTTGCCTTTACACCAAGGATTGAATAGAATGTAGATATTTTGGTCGTGCCACATGTCAAATATTACAGTCTTGTTATCGGATTTAACGAAAGTTTCTATCTGCAGCTTCCATATCCCAACTTAACAAGTAGGTGGAGTATTTATCCTGATTGACAATCTTTACTTTGCGTACTTTAAAATACGTGCTCCCCATTCTTCATCAGGATCCCCATCTGCAAGAACGAGACTAACACGTGTCCCCGTCGTAGGGGTCGGATTATCACCTGAAAAATACAATTGTTTTTGTTATTCTGTATATCTGCACTCACAATGGTAAAATTAATCAATTGTCATTTTGTTTCCATAACTGTAGAATGGTTACTTCGCTTTAATATTGAACATATCTCTGTGTGCAGAAAGTTTTTTTTTTTTCGATTTTTAGTGTGTCAATAACAGTCTAAACTGATTCAGGAACGTCATTCTAAAAAAGGGTAAGTTATATGTTTTGTTACAGGATATTATTTGTTATCATTTAGTTGCATCAACTACTTCCCAATCAACTAAATTAAAGGAACTACACTGTTACTAACTTACAGGAATTACTGTATTTCCCAGTTACTTGAGCACCTTGCTTCTTAATAAAAGGAATAACTTCTCTATAATAGTTAATCACGTCATTATGATAGCAGATAGTTGTTGCATTGGCAATCATACCGCCGTATGGTATACATATCTTAAACAATACGTTAATCAGTCTCGTGCATGCTCACATTTAAAGAACTTCGTTAACAGGGGTGTGGTTCTCACACAATATAAAAACTGCTTCAACGGAGTTACGTATATTTCAAATATGTGGATTGACACTACATATGTTTTTATGTGTCACCGTAACGAGTTGTTGACTGATACGATATGTGTGTGTCTCAAATCACTGTAGTTTACACGGTTTAAAATCTTTAGATCCCAGAATAGTCGTTAATCTGTAAATTTACTGATTGTGTCTTATTATCGATTGTTATCGATTGTTACATTTTGACTCAGTTTGGATTCGTATGGCGAGTGATGCATACATATCAGGAAAAGCTGACCCTGTTGACACACACGGTCTCATTTCTTTTCGAGATCATGCGATTCTCGTAGTAATTGTTTATTACCTTGATTTATTTCTGCTTAATGCATTAATGCGATATAAACATCTGTAAATTACTGTTGCCACTAAAAGACCACATCTCCTTTTTTTATATTGTTTTACTTTCTTTCCGGAATTGCTTTATTTCTTTGTTACTGGACTACTTGTTATTTACACTTTGTTAAATTACTTTGTTTCATCCTTGATTTTTCAAGGTTTAGTTTTGAGAGTTACAGATGAAGTTAAACCAGGAAAGCGCGTCTGATGCAACAAATGTGTAAGGCGTTATTATTGTCTATTATTGAACTTGCTTGTTCCTTTAATTATAGTACAAGAACAACAAAAAATGACCATCATTTTCCTGAATTTGCATACATGCGGGAAATCAATGTGTGAAGACGGGGTCAATGATAAGAAACTTTCTTCCTTATAGACAGCTTTTAATGTTCTATTTCTAATTGGAAACAAAACATAATGGTTACAAGTACATATGAATCATCATAATATTTTGAACTCCATATAATCAACAATTTGAATATGATCAAAGTAGTACATACAGTAAACTCCGTATATCCTATCTCTTTTACAAATGTTGAAGATGAGATATAATAAGATAGGGACTAAAAGTAAAGCAAAACCAGAACAAGGTATCAGAGTCAGAATCAGACACAAAAGCAATATTTTTCATGTTTCCTTTCGCTTATCAAATGTAGCATGCAAATATATATAGATACCAGGAATAAAATTTTGTACGCCAGACGCGCGTTTCGTCTACAAAAGACTCATTAGTCGAATCAAATAAAATACGAAGTTGAAGAGCATTGAGGACTTGAAATCTCGAAATATTTTGTAAAATACAGCTAGGGTAATCAATTCCTGGGGTAGAAAATCCTTAGTATTTTGAAAAATTCAAAGTGTTATAACAGTGAATTTATAATTATGACCATGATAACTCAGGTCAACACAGAAGTGCTGACTACTAGGTTGGTGATACCCTCGGGAAGAAACCTCCACCAGCAATGGCATAGTCCCAGTGGTTGTAAATAAACTCATCATAGACACCAGGTTTAAAGGGGCATTAGCTGTCAAATTCATGTCCACCGGTTTGACTCAAATTCTCATATTTGATTTATAACATACTTAAACGTATATCCAAAATACAAAAAGTCTAAAACAAATAATTAACAATACATGGACTCGATAATACATGTATGTGTCAACATTTCGTGTGATTTTTGTCTAGACGTCATCTCAATAACCATCATGATGACCTCCGAAGGCTGTCGACGGTCATGTAACCTGATATAAACATAAATATAAATAAATAGCGACCATGTGCAATTGGATTTTTCTACGTCTGTTTGATTTCATATTGTAGGTAAAAAAGTACGTTTATCATCGATTTTAGATATAAGAAGATGTGGTATGAGTGCCAATGAGACAACTCTCCATCCAAGTAGAAATTTATAAAAGTAAACCATTAAAGGTCACAGTACGGTCTTCAACACGGAGCCTTGGCTCACCGAACAGTAAGCTATTTTTACCTGTATAAGAATGATTTTTTATGGATCGAATCAGTCAACCAAATGGTGTATTCTTGTTTCACTTTCAATGTTGACATTCTTTTCCTTTTAATAACTGAATCGTAACCCATGTCCAGCTAAGGGGTTAAATTGAAGGTCACATAAATACGGATTCAATGAGGTCGGATTATTCACTTGCAAGTGAATAATTCATCAGCGATGTTTCATAGCTTATTTTGATAAAATTGAACCAAATTGGCTGATAAAAGCGAATTATTATTTCACTATTTCACTATCATTAATGATTGAAAAAGAAATCATATTTTTTAAATCATGTTTTTTTATATCTCGTAGCTAATGCCCCTTTAAATTTTGATACAATTTTAAAACACACAACATAACACATACAAATACTCAGTATATAACAAGATGATTTTTTGCAATCTTTAGTGATAATTTCAGGTAAACATTTCTTACAGTATGAATACACGGACACACCAACAAGTATGTGCATGTACGTTTAATTTAAAAATTAACTAAGTTTTAGAGGGAAAAAATGTGTTGTTAGTTTTCCGCGGAATTTGATTTTTCATGACTGTATTTCATTTAGCAAAAGAAGGAAGAAGATGGAAGTGGTTGGTAACTTCATTCTACAATCAGTATTTGTCATCTGAGGACATGACGATACAAGAGAAATTTCGCTCAATTTAGATAGCATATCCCTTTAAACTTGAAATAGACCTGTAATTTAGACCGTCTTCTTTAAAAAATCCCATCGAAACTTATGTTTTGCCATTGTACACGGTGGTCATTTTCGCATGCCTGTTTTTGACGTCTTTACTATCAATTCGTTAGATGCATATGAATACCAAAACCTTTTTTTAACCAATGATCGACCAATAAAGGGCATGTTACGTGTACTGATTGTAGATACACAAAAGTAAAGAAATAAAATGCTAATAGTACTGATGATATAAAGTTCCCTATGACAGCTGTTTTCTAATTGTAAAAAAATTATAAGAAATCAGTTACATTGATGCATATTTCTTCATGTTTCCATGACATAAGCCATAACAATCTGTTTTCTGTATCTATATTTTTGACATTAATACATATATTTAAAGCAGAATCTAACAGACGTTGGCGTTACTGTTTGAATGCTGGACATTCCATTCGAAAATGAATTTCATTTGTGCACTGATTTATATTTTTTGCTTGGAAACCCTTATTTTAGTAGTTGAAATTTGATTTAAAAAGAGCCTTCAGTAACTTCGAGTATTCTAAGACCGGTACTTTCTGTCTTTTGTCTTTTTCTTGGTTGTCATTCATGAGAATATGACGGGGCAAAAAAGTATAACAAAAAATGCCGAACTTCAAGGCAAACTCAAAAAGGGGGAGTGCGTAGAAACTGAAAAAGTCTAACGCTATCAATCAACGGAACAAGTTAAAAACAACTGCCATATTCCTGACTTGGTATAGGCATTTTCCGATGAAAACTCCCCACTTGTATGATAGTAGTTTATAGTTCTGTTATATAGACAAAATTGGGTGAGGAACCCAAACAGACTTTAAAGGTTAATGTGACAATAATTGGGATTCAGCAGCTTTGTAAACATAAATCACATATATACAACACAACTGATTACAAAATTCAAAAACATACAAATAAATCTAACAAAGACGCCAGCAAAAAAGGTGCTGTAGTAGTTGGTAAATTTGACAATGACGCCTACAAAAACAATGTTTTTGTCGTTGATAGTAAATTGACACGGACGCTGATAAAAACTTTCGTGTCGTTGATAGTGCATACGGTATATAGTATTCACCTTCTCGATAAAGTAAAATATAAATGCAAAGGTAAACAAAATAGACACAACACTGTAAAACTATGGAACGCCACAGCTGTCTTATGTGGAACCCTGATATTACGTGATGTTGTTCTATTATTAATTGATGATAGTTTGTCTTCACATAATATGGTTTTGACATTACGTAATGATGTTTTGATATAACTCAATATGGAATAGTCATTACATAATGATATTTCGATATTACATGATATGGTTTCGTATTGACTTGATATAGTTTTGTCAGTACTTAATATGGTTCCACATAAGACAGCTGTGGCGTTCCATATAAAACCCTTTTGTGTCCGAGTCGCACAGCAGGACCCATCTGCACCAGGAACGCCCAAAGACAAAAACCAGATAACAGGATGCAGATATCTCGAGTCACGTCAAAAGTCATACAACATAAAGAAACGTTAACAGCACGAAGACAAATAACAAGGAAACTGAAGTAAAATAAATAGATACACCACTTCAGCACTACGCCATTTCTACCTGATTTTTACACTGTGTTCTTATGTTGTGCTGTTACGCCACTGTCCCAGGTTGGCGGGTTTTGCGCTTAAAAACATGTTTAACCACGCCACATGCTTTATGTCCCTGTTCAAAGTCAAAAGCCAGTAATTCAGTGATTGTCGTTGGTTGCATTGTGCCATATTGATTTCGTGTAGAAATAAGCCGTTAGTTTGCCCTTTTAAAATGTTTTACATTTTGTTATGCCGGAGCTTACTGTGAAGCTTGTGTTTTTCTCATTGATGAAAGCCGTACGGCGACTTATAGTTGTTTACATCTTCGTCCTGTAGTCTCTGATGTATATTGCTTTCATTGGCGATAATTACAAATCAAGAACAAGTCATAGAGGAGGAAATGTAATATGGTGGCATGCAAGACAAAAATACTTTAAAGATATATTCATTATAAATAGACTATTAAATTATCACATTCTTTTTTTAACTAACTGTTGTTATCACAATTAATTCTTTGGGGGGAAATTTTCTGTAACTGAATCCGTATTCCTATCGGTTTTTTTTTAAAGTGACAGAGTTAATGTTAATTGATAAATAAACAATACTTTTTAAATCTAAACGGATATATACCTGCAAGGAAAACAAACTTAAGATCGTCCTTCTTTACATCATAATCCCTATTCACTTCAATAATGATATTGAATGTCTGCCCACGTCTCACAACCAGTCCTCTGCCTTCCTCGCTGATGCTTTACTCGTCAGTGTGATGTTCATTCGAATTAGAAGATATATTCAAATCCACATTTTCTACCGTCAAATCTGGTTTAACTGGTGGTGGAGGTTCTTAAATAGAAAAAAAAGCATTTTTTTATTTATGTATTTATATATACTGTATATATATATCTTAACATTATTGTTATAGTATCTAGCTAATAAAGATAATATTATTCATATTTCAACCTTGTATCAAATTCTTATTCAATCTCAAAGGGCCATTACTCTTAAAACGCTAATGGTTTGTATTGTGATATCTAATATATAACTAAATGTAGTTTATAACGATTTTGTTCTATATATAATGTCTTCATTAATAGAAAACATAAAACAACTAGCACATTAAGAAATCGGCAATTTACCCATTTAAAAGAAAAGTAAGTTCTGATAAAGTTGTTGATCAACTTTGTCGTAATTGTGAGGCAAGAGTCACTGTGCAGTATATCTGAAGTAGTTTTAATGCACAACTTCACTGTGCATTGTCCATATTATAGCAAAGTAAGAACAAACAGATTTCCCTTATGTCATGTGTTAAATTCATATATACTGCAAATATACTCATGTGATCATTCCTGTTTCTCTTAAATAATTCGTGTGTTGTGATAAGTCGTCCTTGTTCAAAACCTACGAGAAGGTAACACCTTGGAAATGAAAGACGATTTTTGTGAGTTGAAGTAAGAAGAGGGAATAAGGCAACTGTCGCAATGCTACAAGTGAGGGGAAATGTACGCGATTCAGTCCCTGTTGGGGAGACAGCAGAATAAGATAAACTCTAACATTGGTAAGTTGATTTTCTAGGCCCATTTGTAATACTTCAGATGCGATATTTTCCTAATCGTAGGAAATCCATCGGACAAGGTATATATAATTGGCAGTATAACACGATGATAAGATCTATATGTTAACAATAACACGCTGCAATTATATTAATGAATTGAGTGCATATTCAATCCTGTACATGTACAATTAAAATAATTCATATTTTATGACAAGTCGTCTTAGTTGTCCTTGTTCAATTAATATTCCTTCGACAAGGTATCAAATCCCGAAATAAAAGCTGGTGTATTTAAACATAGGTACTTGTTTTTAGTTATTATAAAAAAAAACATGAATATTTGGTGACAAATTAAAACGAAAAAATGTTAAAATACTTGTTTGCATGATACCTTATCGAAGTATACTGAGATTACTTGCGACGTCCAATGGTCAATATTACTAGCAAGATACGAACGATTCTGCGCTATTCACTTACTTTTTCTGTAACATAGTTGGTAAACCCAACAGTTGTACGGTGGTGGTCTTTTGTGCTCGTCATGAATGCGGAAGATCGTGGGTTCGAACACTGGCCGGGTCAAAACAAAGACCACAGAAATTGATATTTGCTGCTACTCTGTTAAGCATGTATGTTGCATTTATGAGTAGGAGCAAACACTGGTCGACTCGGAATCAGATAATGTGTCCAGGTATGGTGACATGTCTTCCTGCGGACCTTGTTACCTAGTGGACCAGCACGTTTATAATCCGACTCAGCGTGATGGTCTTGTAAAAAGCAAAGGTTTATATTCATATCACATTGTCATGTTCTCGTCCTGAATATGCACATAATCTGCCAATGTACGTTAAACAGCCGCCATCTATCCATCCCAGTCAGCATTTATTCCTATGATTTGGAATAGTGGTGTTCGTTCTCAAATGAACGAGATTAAACACCTCTTATGTTAAAAAAACATTAAACTTCTGTATTATGAAATACACATAGTTAATTTCCTATTCTCAAGGATCCCATATGGTGTCATTATTTTTATTAACTTTCTTATCCAACTATTTTTTTCCAGAGAGATTCTCACCTCCACGGACATATATATGTATGCAAAAACTGACCTTTTCTTTCCAGAATTGGTTTTCGGCCTTCTGATGTGGGAGTGTTTACTGAACGTCTAGGAAAATTGGTGAGTGTGAATCGGTTACCACGACTTCGAATGATATCACTGTTAAGTCTCGTGCGGATAGTTCCAGTTGACGTACTTCCTGTGCGTCTGCTACTCTACATAAATCGACTACTGCTTCTTCTCATTGTGAAATCTGTAGAACTGAAGTACAAACAAATTAATTGATTGATTGATTGGTGTTTAACGCCACTTTGAGCACTACTGTGCTATTTCGTGGCGGTCATTTTTTTTGTCGAAGGAAACCGGAGTGCCCGGAGAGGACTAGAGACCTTCGGTAGGAAAATTGACAATCCTAGTCAAATAAGATTACAGTCGAGCGTACCTGCCACGTGCGGGATTCGAACTCACAACCCCAGTGTTGACAGGCTAGTGATACAGTAGTTCAACTACTTAGACCACTACAAACACATTAAACATTGGAACATGAATAATATTTATAAATGAGTTTACTTTTACAATTTGTGACTTGGATGGAGAGTTGTCTCATAGGCACTCATACAAGTACACAATTTTATATAGGGGCCAGCTGAGGACCACCTCCGGGTGCGGGATTTTCTCGCTGTGTTGAAGACCCATTGGTGGCCTTCGGCTGTTGTCTGCTCTTTGGTCGGGTTGTTGTCTCTTTGACATATTTCCCATTTCCATTCTCAATTTTACTCATACCACTTCTTCTTATATCTACATGTATTAATAGGAAGATGAAAATCTAAAGCTGCTCGTAGTATGTTGATAATACGTGAATAAGTATGATGAGTTATAACAACTAAAGGATAATTGGCGCCCAATAGCGTCAATAACATTTACAATGTTTGCCTGATCACTATGATTTATATATCTCTGATATAATGTTATACAAAATTACCTTATAGATCTAAATTCCATTTTTATTCATTGGTATCAATGTGGGCATGATTGTGACATTCTAATAACATACTGTAAAAATACGGATAATTCCCGTGTGCAATATCATCTCTTATTTAAGAAATACTTCGCTTTTTAAAAAAAAAACCTCAACGTTGATTCAGATATTTGCAGATGTAAACATTGCGCAAGTAGGAATATATGTATCAGCTTTTACCGTATTTTGCTATCATTTGCTGTAAACATATTGTCTTAATTTGCCGCCTGTCGACAACATATATGTGTCATTCATATTTTCCTAACGTCAACTATGTCTACATTGTATCACTTGTTTTCTATTGTCAACCTATTTCAGCACCCGCATTTGTTTAAAAATGATTGTTTTTATTTTAATGAAATGAAAATGAAAGCTACTTATGAAGTGGGCATTATTGTTATTAATATATAATTATGTAACTGTCATCAAGACAGTCTATATATCACGATACCACCCCCTTTTTCATAACTAACTATTATGAAATAATATGCACATACTTATTATAGTAATTTGATTTTTTTCATACAACGCGTATGTCAAAACAACATGTATGTATACATCAACCTATTACCACAATAGACATTAAGAGGTCAACATACGTCAAGCTAAATTACCCTAGATCATGAATAATCTTAAAAAACTGCCAAATATTTGCAATCAAATACAAATTCTTCAAATGACATATATCAATAAGATGTTACTAACTGACTAGGTTACTAGCATAAGACATGTACGTAAGAATGTGTCTGTGTGTGTGGTTTTTTTTTGTTGTTGTTGTTTTTTGGAGGGGAAAGGGGGGGGGGGGGGGTTACTTTAGAAATGTAACTACAGTAACCAGTGGCTTGTACAACTCATCAATCCGAGAAGAAGAGGTGGAATATTCGAAAGAGTGATTCATAAATCATTGGAAAAAAATTTAAAAAACCGACGAAAACTCAAACAACGGTATACAAAACATTACATTTAAAGCTTACAACTGAGCAAGAAGATCTCGCCCCATAAAAAAAGACCCCCCCCCCCCCCCCCACCACCACCAAAAAAAAACAAAAACAAAAACGGGTATGATCTAAGGTGCTTCGGAAGGGATCTGTATTTGTATCTGTATAATGCTTGAAATGAACTCAAAATTTTGAGTAAAACTTATCGAGGATGTGTGTGTGCGCCACTGTTTCAACTAGTCGCGCGAGACAACTGCCTTAAAGCTTTCCACTGTTTTACAATTTATCACACTGTTTGACAATGAGTTCCAATTGTTTATAGTTTGTGGAAAAAAATAATGATTTGACATGACATAGCACTTGCTAGCGTTAAAACGCTTTCCCAAGTTTTTTGCCCATTTATCCAATTATTCTAGGTTATTTTGTATTTGAAGTTGGTCCAGCTTTTGAGTATATGGTGTTGTATAAAAGTCAGTCATCGGCAATGAAAAGTTAACGTACTTGTAATTTTACACAGCGCTGTAAGTCATTTATATGGCATACAAAAAGAAGGGCTCAAGGATGATTCCTTTGGGCACCCCTGAGTCGACAGAGCAAGATGAAGAATACTCTCCTTCGACAACGACTTGCTGATGTGGTCAAGGGTAAGTCAAGTTTCAAACTTTAACAAGACGATTTAAATGAGATTTACCACGGTTTCAATTTAAAACTATGTGACATCAATTGCAATGTTGTTATGTTTACCATCCTATCAACATTAAATGAAAATTAAGATCGTTTGTAGAGTGTCTCCAAATCAACAATCACAAATTTTAGAGAAGAACACTTTTGGAAATGCGCAAATCATAATCAAAGTTTACTTCTGGCGACAATGTTTTTCGTCCGATCGGAAAAAAAACGAAGATCGTTTGTAGGACTTTTCATTCATTATTCCTGTCAAATTTTGCGAAAAATGACCATTCAATTTCAGAACAAAAACAGTCTTATGATGAAAATTTGAATTCATAGGGATTGAAGATATGTGCCACCAATGCTACCATGTTATCCGTTCAATTAAAGTTAAATGCAGATTGTTTGTAGAGGGTCTCCCATTAAATCACGTAAAGTAAACAGGTCATTTAGTAGTTTCGGAGAAGATTTAAAAGAAATGGCCAATCAGCAGTAAAGTGTGGCCATGTTTTCGTTCGATCCAACCAAATTAACGTTCATGCATGTCAAGTTTGGTTAAATTTTCCATGTAGTTAAAGACAAAATGGTTAAAACGATTTCTATAAGAGTTTCAAAGGGAACTAAGTTTTATCAATACAACCACGTTTGCACCTGATTAACTTGAAATTTGGATCGTTTATAGAGGGTTCCTTAATTATCAATTATATGTAAAGTTTCAAGACAGTTTACCTTATAGATTTATAGAATATGTTTAAATTTAAAATAAAAGACCTGAGAATTAGGTAAAAGAGTAACTTTTCAAAATGAAATGTCAGTTTAAGTAATTAATTATAAAGCACGATCAAACACTTGTAAATTAAGAAGGGAGTATCAAATATTGTAAGAATATGGCTTATATCACATTAAAAATATAACCCTTAATATTGAAAATATCAAATTACTAGCAAAGTGTAAAAAACTACTTATATCGATTGATATAACAATTAATAGTGAAGAATGTGATATTTTTAAAAACGATAAGCACTTTTATGAACAAAACAAATATAATTTCGTTCTGTTAATGTCATGTTAGTGAGGAACATTTATTTAAATAGAAATTAAAGAAGATATCGGATAACGACTTAAACGACCAAAATACATCTAGATGGCAACATAGAGTCTCAGCTATAGACTAGTTCTATAGACTATAGCTATAGACTAAAACCAAAATAGTTCCCTATCCTCCCCATGAGTTTCATTTTAGTATCATTCTGTTCAATCACAAGAACTGTTATGCTACAACATTTACAACGGCTGTCACCATACCAGCGGCACTCTCCAGAAGTACGGTTATACTTGGTTTGGACAATTTTGCCAGATATTCGGAATCCTCTGGTTTTATCCATGAAGTGCAATTAAAAATTTTGCTAGCTAACCCCTACTTTTCTTTTCATAATTTTATGACATATAGTTTTAAAAAGTCATATTTGAAAATCTTATAAAATCCTTGTTATTTTTCATACTTTTTTTAAAGAAAAAAGGTGCCAATGTTAAATGTATGAAAAAACTAGAGAAAACCATTTCCCGCCACATTTTCAGTGGTTTATATCTCGCAAACAAGCTCACGGATCCTTCATTTTTTTCTGCTGATTAAGTTCCTTTATTTATATACTATCTATTTATAACAGTCTATTAAAAAGCTTGTTATTTTGAAACAAAGTAGCGAACATTCTTAAAACTATCATAGGTAGCTCGGTAAGGATCATGGATAATTTTGGAATTCTTTCCAAGCAGCATTTCCCTCAGACTAACTTGTTTGGCTGCATTAACACAATTATACGGCGCTCGGTAAAGATCGTGAATAGTTTATTGGGGTTCTTTTCAAATATGTTCAATTTAACCGAATAATGATAATAAATTATTAATAAAATATCAAAATAAATATCAAAATAATATTATTTTTTACTTCTATATATATTAATAATTATATCATTATTTTCAATTGTTTAATCATTTTTTATTTGTTGTTACATGTATGCCATCGGAGGACAGATAAATTGTGAATTGAACCTAATGAGATAGATACTATATATGCTTAGTTTTTAAATGAAAGAGGTTATGAAACTATTGTTGATGTTATGTAATTCATATAGTTGTACTCTGTAAACAAAACTGATTTCCCAAAACATGGCTCTACCGAAAAAATGAATAACTATTATTCAATATTTTGAATAAGTGTACTTACCAACTTCTAGCTATCCTCCCTGCGGCGCAACAGCTGTCTGCTAGAACTTCAGTTCAACAGATACTTTTTATTACCGAGTAAGGGAATTCCGAGCAGTCTTAACAATCATTGAAACAGAAATTGGTGAACCCAAAACGACAATCTGATAAAATGTTACGGTTTTGTACTTCTTTTTCTTTTTTGAAATTAATTCAAAACACTTGAATATTTGTATGAATCATGAATTATTGAAATTTTTCAGTCGACCCCCAGTTCGTATACGTGTAGCTCATTGTGTTTTCTTTCTTTGTTCGACTCATGATTTTGACTCTCCCTTGGTATATCTAATTTCTGTCACATATTTCTTGAGATAAGCTTTATATTGCAATAATTCTGAGGCTCTTTTTTCACTAATATGTTTTTGACTAAAATCGCTCATTAGTTGTACTGTAATTTTCATGACTTTCTTCTATTTTTTCTCTTAAGATGTTTTTGTGTATTGTTCACTGGAATTTAATTTCAAACTCATAAGTCGAAAATAAACTGCAAACGCCATGGCTTAAAAAAAAAAAGACAAACAGACAAACAGGGGCAACAGTACACAAAACACAACATAGAAAACTAAAGACTGAGCAACACGAACCCCATCAAAATCAGGGGCTCATCTCAGGTGCTCCGGAAGGGTAAGCAAATCCTGCTCCACGTGCGACACCCATCGTATTACTCCTCTTAAAGTTTTAAATAAAAATCCAGTTTTTAAAAGCGAAGGATACATGTAGACAAGACCAATTGAAACAACAAAGACGTTGAAAAAATCTTAAACTAAAACACAGATGCTACAATGTATGAAGTTCCTGCTAAGTTAATGGTAACTATCGTGTCGCTCATGGCAAGTAAAAATCCCATGATACATGTAACTCTCATTCCTTGGTCACATAAACAAGCAAAGAAGGCTGAAATTGTTGGTACGATAAATGTAACACCTTATTGGTTATCTGTGTCAAAGATATTTCATAACTGTGAAACAAATCATGATGGCATCCGTTAAACGTTAAAAAAGATGTTTTCAAATTTTCCATTAAAAACCTTTCTCAAATGATTTCCAAAATTTGAAAATACATTTGAAATTCCGTCTATTTAGACAAACAAACAAAAACCATATGCCTTGAATTTTAACATATTGTCTTACTACCTAACAAGAAAAGTTATGTCATACCATAAAGCTGAAAGAAACAAAGCAAAATAATTGTTTTGACACTGAAGAGACAAAAGTATCAAAATTAATGTTGATATTTCAGTATTACGTCACAGTATTCGGGATGACAATTGAGAGCGTACCATATCTATCACCACTGTCAATTTCTTTACTTTGTTTCGAAGACAACAATGATTTAAAACAAAGAAGCTTAAATTTATTATGTAACATGAGCCACATTGACGCAGTGAGAGAACAATCTTATCTTGGATCGGAATGTTTTAATTACAAATTAAGTTGTAAATTTGTCATTAGCTTTGACATTTGCTTTGAAAGAGTTAAAGTGTTCCGTAATATCATACTGCCAGTAACTGTTTGTTCAAGGTTTTCCATCATTTGATATTATTGTATACACTTGTGTCAGGTAAAGTAGTTTATATTGGAGAAACGTGATTTATATGCAATAAGGATTAATATTTATTTAGTTATCTTGGTGTAAACAGAATTTTACACCGGTGTTTAAAATCTGAACACCCTGAGGCGCAGTTGAACGGTGTATGTATTTTCAACACCGGTGTCAAATTCCGTACACCCCTGATTACACCAAGTGAAGATAGCGGATTCATTTCTTATGAAGCGTTCCTTTTCTCATTTTTATATCGGCTGAAAAATTGAAAAATTCTTATGAAGAACTTTCACTTCACATTTTTTCTACACCGATGTTGCTGCGCATTGTCAAAAATAACCTTTTTCTTTTCTTTTTTTTTTTTAATTTAAGAAAATATCATATAGATATATTGATTATGTCAGCTGATCGTCATGTTCCAATCTTACTCTCAATCCGTTGAGGGGTTATGAATACTGAGTTAACTGAGGTCAGAGGGTGAAAATGACGTTATTGAAGCATTCTACGGGAAAATGCACGACTGTGAAACTGAAAGTAGTCAAAACACGAAAACATAAACAAACGATGGTAAGAATTTGTTGAAAGCCCATTTTCTTAAATAAAAATAAGAGAGTCATTTAACTTCATCGAATCCTGTCTTAGTATCTTATTGTAAATCGTTTAAGTATGTGACTAATTTAGTTTTCTTTGTCTTTTACGTCAATATAAACAGTGTGTTCAATTACGGGAACATCATTCATTTCCATTCACATAGGGGGCTTCGATCTAAAAGAATTGCTGTCTTTGTCCTATTAGGATAGAAATAATTCATTGGGGATTGAATTTATATTAATTTTACCACGGTTTGGTCCTTGCTAATATTTTATCGCTCGTTGTAAAATATTGATCATAAAGGGCCAACCCGTGGTAAAATCACGATAAACGCAAGCCCCCTTGTGACGCTTATGGGAAATAATGAAACCGAATTAGTTGATAATTGTTTCCTTATGAAACAGTTCTATGCCACCATTTTTTTTCTTAAAATGTCCTGTACTAAGTCAGGAAAATGGCCATTGTTATATTATAGTTCGTTTATGTGTGTGTTACATTTTAATGTTGTGTTTCTGTTGTGTCGTAGTTCTCCTCTTGTTTTTGATGTGTTTCTCTCAGTTTTAGTTTGTAACCCGGATTTGTTTTTTACTCAATCGATTTATGAATTTCGAACAGCGGTATACTACTGTTGCCTTTATTTCTATGCAATTGAATATTAATATTTAGCACATTCCTCTGTGACATTGTGAACGCTAAGCGTTTGATGTGTTGTTCTGTTGTGCAGCTTTAGCAGGGTAATCGATATACTCGCTGTATAAGTGAAACGGTGGTATTGTGATCAAACCCCATAAAGAACAAATCTATTCTATTAATTTGATTTTTCGTCTTCATTATTTCTTGTATTTATTTTTCACTTGTTTTTAAGCTTCGTTTGTCATCTTCCCTCGTAAAATATATGAATATTTCTAAAACCAGCACACCTTCAGAATTAGTTAGTTTTGATATGGCGGAATTTAAAAGACCTTGAATTATAAACCTAACATTTGTTTAGAAAAAAATGCAATGTTATTATTTATCAATTAGTAAGTTGATATTTTAAGAGTTTTGCAAGTAAGGAGGGAGAAAGGGATCAATTATTCCGTAACTGTTTTAAATTAAATGATTGTTAGGCTAGATTAAGTTATACGTCGAGCCTAATTTTTTTGTTATCCTCACTGTGCCATTATTGAATAAAATAAACAATATACTGTGCAGTCAGTCTTAAAGTTTCTAAACCTCTCCAATTATGCTTTATTTTCCGAGTTACATTATATTGGATAAACGCAAGGGTATTTTCAAACAAGACCATTACCGGATCTGGACCTGCATCGCTGCATGCAAATGATTGAGGTAACATGTATACCGGATCAAAACTTATCATTCCTAGACCAAATTTAAAAAAACTTCAATAGGTGCCAAGCTACATCAAAGATGTAAAAAAAAATTACTTACTCGCTACAACTCAACGTTATCAAGCTGCAAATCAAATATCAAATAATTCCCTTTCATAAAAGCCAAGAATAATTTCTTTTGGACGGACGGACGGACGGACAGATAGACGGAGTCGAGCGGTAAGATAACCTTCATCCGCCTTTGGTGATGCGGGTAAAAATAAAGCTACGTTTCTTAAATCCCTACAACTTCAATACTCACATGCATCACACATTGCGTATTAAAATTGAAAAACGTGGTTGCTAAGATTTGTAGTCACCATCAATTTCTCGACCAACAAAACCTCCAAGTAAAATGCAACTGTGAAACCCTATGATTGGCTACATTTAATTCAAAAGTTAAGTGTTTGGCCTCCAAATGCCATTGATAAGTGTTATCAGAACCCGCGTCTATTTTTTTAAATTATAAGCCTGCTGACTGATGTACCAAAGGTATCACCATTACAGTTGTCAGTACTCTTGTGCAAGGATTGGAATATCATTGATTCGATATTTTGTTAATGCTGTGCATTAAGTGTTATAAAATATCATTTTTTTTTTCTCCGAAGCATCGTTAGTATTAGCTAGATTTGGCACTACATAAAATTGAGAATGGAAATGGGGAATATGTCAAAGAGACAACAACCCAACCAAAGAGCAGACAATAGCCGAAGGCCACCAATGGGTCGTCAACGCACCGAGAAAATCCCGCACCCGGAGGTGGTCCTCAGCTGGCCCCTAAATGAAATTGTGTACTAGTTCAGTGAAAATGGACGTCACACAAACTCCAAAACATATAAATGAACTAAAATTAAAAAAAAATTTACAAGACTAACAAAGGCCAGAGGCTCCTGACTTGGGACAGGCGCAAAATGCGGCGGGGTTAAACATGTTTTGTGAATCTCAACCCCCCCCCCCCTATACCTCTAGCCAATGTAGAATAAAGAAATACATAGTAATACGCACAGTAAAACTCAGTTCAAAAGAAGTCCGAGTCCGATGTCAGAATAGGTAACAAAAGAAACCAAGCAAAATGACAATGATACATAAATGAACAAAGGACTACTAGCAGTTACTGACATGCCAGCCCAAGACCTCAATTAAACTGAATGAAAGATTATTGTCTTCATCATATTAAAATCAAGTACAATCCCCCCCGTTAGGGGTTTAGTATCAAACCATCATAACATATATGAGAAGAACATAACCCGTATCATGCCAACAACTGGTTTTAGAATAAATGTGTTTATTTCCGATGCAAAGACCCTATGAGTGAATCAATATTAATACCAAAATATGCAATCCTTAATGACTTGACAACAGTATTGTAACTATATCCTTTCCGAATAGGTCTTTTTAAAGGTTTGTTAGATTTTGAGGTGAATGCCGACATTTTTGTGCTTTGTAAAGAATATTACCATAAAATATTGGATGTGAAATACCTGAACGTATAAGATGTCTGCATGTTAATTTATATTTACGAATGATGTCCTGGTACCGATAATAAAATTTAGTAAATGTTTTGACTAGTTTGTGATATCTAAAACCCTGGTGTAATAATTTTTCAGTAATACAGAGATTTCTTTCGTTGAAATCAAATACGTTGTTACATACACGAGCGAATCGAACAAGTTGAGATATATAAACACCATAAGATGGTGACAAGGGAACGTCACCATCTAAAAATGGATAATTAACAATAGGAAATGAAAAATCATCTCTTTTATCATAAATTTTGGTATTAAGCTTCCCGTTAAAGATATAGATATTAAGATCAGGAAAGGGCAGTGTTCATTGTTAGTATTAGCTTTATTTAAAGTCAGTTCGGCAGGATAAATCTCTTTAGTGTACATACTAGAAGTCGTCATTATTGAGAGCCAATATATCATCTAAATATCTAAAAGTGTTATTAAATTTTTGAATCAGATGTTGTTTCGATGGGTCTTTGCTGATTTTAGTCATAAATTGTAACTCATAACAATACAGAAACAGGTCCACAATAAGTGGTGCACAGTTAGTCCCCATGGGAATTCCGATAACCTGACGATATACGGAATCTCCAAAGCGAATAAAAATGTTATCTAGTAAAAATTCAAGGGCAGCTATAGTATCAAAGCAGGTCCAATTGACATAGTTGTTTTGTTTGTTGTTACTAAAAAATGACCTAAAAGACTTTGAACATATATATTCGCATTCCGACTTTTTTAATGCCCATTTAATCAGGTGTGTGAATTTTTTCTTGTCTATAAATTTGTGTTTTAGATGCTGTTTAACTTTGTAATTGATCGCTCGGCATGTGCGTTGTGCATACGAAGCTATTAAAATGGTGTACATTATATCGTTGAATAGTTTTTTTAGTGATGATCCAATAAATCATCGTCGAGGTACATAAATGATAATAACAACATAGATAATATATATTTATGTATTTAAAAAAATTAAATATATTATAGAGACAATGTAATGGTTATGTCTATAATAACTGTTTTTATTTGCTGCCCATAAAGCAATGTTAACATTTATCAAGATGTGATTCTCAAAGCAAAATTATATATAGTTGGACATACATGCAACTAAAATATCTGTAGCTCTTAGTCGGTTTTACCCTTTATATGTAAGGATAAAATCTCAAAACAAGTTGTATAAAACAAAACGTAATTTATAGTATTATAAAATCTATTACAGAAGGAACATATCAGTTTGCACTAATGTCAGATAATTTAATGTGGGATTTATTCGCTTATCTTTATTTCACAGGATCCATCAACCATTTCCAACTCTTTCGAGTTGAAGGAGACGATCAACTCTCTTATTCCAGCTTTTGTGGGTAAAATTTCGACTGTTGTCATAAATGTTTGATCGCTTGGTACAATGCTGAAAAACAAAATGTTAGTGTTGAATACAAATTCACGGTTATGACGATACATTTGTATTTTACTTTACAACATTCATTGAAAGTAATCACTCAGTTATGTTTTACGTCATCAATTTCTAAATTAAACTGACTGCAAAAGTACACAATTGTTAAAAAAAAAAGCAATGCATTAAGGAAGACATATTTTGAATATGTTGATCTGGCATTGATGAAAAATAAAACCCGTTATTGTAATGATTAATCGTAAATAATTTTTACGCAGTGACTGGATTTACACAATGGGAAGTCCATTAACGTATGAGGCGTTCAGTCAACTCATTATTAGGCATCACATAAACAGTACCAGTATTGTGTACCAAGTATTCCAAGTACATATTTGAATATACCCTTGTTATGAATATCTTCCTTATAGCTATACATAATTTATAAGAAACCCCATTTTATTTCAATCAATTACGAATACAACTCTAACCTTTGAGGTATAACTTGGTTTTCCGTTAAGCCAGTACCCTCAACTGTTAATTCGCAACTAGTCAATGCACATGGAAGTGGATTTGTGAACGAGACTTCTGCTTTTATCTTCTCGCCAACCTTTCCAGTAGCTGGTGCCTAAAGTAACAGTATCGATATATCATTATAATATAAATGCAAAGCATATAAGTGTATGATTCAGTCCATCCATTTTAAGTATAAAAAATAAGGGTATGTTATATAATTGGCAATGAGAAAAGTTAACACACAAACAAACATCCACCAGAGACGAGAAACTATGATGTAAAAAACTATTTTATAGATTACAGTGCGGTCTTTAACCATAGGTAGAAACTTATTAAACAATGAGTTAAACAAGGCCTTAGCATGATAAAATGTAAAAGAGAGGCGAAAGATACCGACGAGACATTCAGACTCATAAGTCAAAAACAATCTGACAACGCCAGACAAACAACAGTACACAAAAAACAACATAGAAAACTAAAGACTGAGCTACAAGAACCCCACCAAAAACTGGGGGTGATCTCAGGTGCTCCGGAAGAGTAAGCAGATCCTGCTCCACAGTTTACCGAAAAAAATCCACGGCCTGATTTATACTCAAAACAATACACGAAAAACAAATAAAGTGACAGATTCCGACGAAAACACCTAAATTATAGGCTCCTGACTTCTTATTCAATGTAGTTGTACTTTAATTCAACGAAAGAACTTAGGGAAGAACTAACAGTGAGCTGCTTCAGGCGAAATAATATGGATGAAAGGTTTGGTAATCATCTTCCCAAAAAATATATCCCTTTTTGAGATTTTAGACTGAAAATTGAAGTAAAACAACTTTTTTTTTTATTCGTGGAATTTTAATTTGAATGAAGCCCCTTGAGAAATAAATACCCCTTTCAAAAGATATTAATCAGAAATGATATATGCTTTATCCGTCCTGCTAATAAGAGTTGCGCCATGAGCGCATGAGCGAAAGACAAACTTACGGGTGGATAAAAACTACATATCCCCGGGTAACACAGTAAATGGTGTATCTATAAAGAACTGCAATAAATACCTTGATCTTAAGTTCTGGTTTAATCAGGCGAAAGGTATCTTGATCGACGTATGAGTGTTCAGTTTCGAGGATTGTACACATACATGACATCTTCATATGGCACTGGTCAACCAGCTTGCTATAGTATTCATCAAATGTCACCTTGAGGCTCAATTCCTTACCTACAAATAAATACAAATAAATGAATAGAATGCTAAGAAATTACAGGATATTTGTGTATTGCTTATATGTGTTTCATCTTTATCAACCATGTGGTTTAATTGATTTGACCTTAATTTGATTGTTTCTGTGGTTTGTTTCTTTGTTTGAATTTAAAAACACTCAATGTTATAATGATGGAGGAAGCAATGAACATTATTAAGTAACCTTATCACAAACTAGTCGATAGATTGTCACATGACTAGTAGTGGTGTTGATACCCTAAAACCGTTGAACCTTTTGAAATTGCAAAAGGCTAAAGCAGTCTGCCCATTTAGATTTCAAACACTGAAGTTACTTTCTTTTCGCCAATATTTTGATCTTACTGCTGATTTTGATGTGCAATACTGACTGGGATTTTTTTTTTTTTTTGACGCAGAATCATTAAGCAATGGTTTCTTGTCACATTAATCAACGTTCAGTGGAAAATATGATACAGGTATTATACTCACTTTTATTTGCTGCTATTTTCTCATTGCCAATAGCTAAATTCTTCACTCTTTTGGCTGGAACTCCAGTATAGTACATACTACTTGTACATATTGAACCAGACAGTGTCCGGATCTCACTGCTGTTATTGCTTATCTTTAGAATAATTTCAAAATCTTTTCCGTATGGAGCTGTTTCTTTCTCCAGCAATTCAAACTGTACATCCTATATCCAATGTATATTAAGACATCATTTTTTTTTTCAAAATACTCATTAATTCCTGATAACATGATAATATCTTATATGTTGAACTTTTATAAAATAAAATAATCCGCAATTCTTCATGTTTTTTCGTTAGGATATGATTTTAATCCAATTTTACGCCAACTCTGCTCAGTAGCATATATTTTTTATCAAATATGCAAATACCTTGGTAAAACGAATAATTTATTATTTGATTCCCATTCGCCAGAATATTAACACATATTTTTATAAGTTATCTGCCTATAAATTCTGTAATTTTTACACTTACTTTTGTTGTTTCACATTCCTCTGACAAAGTTGAACCACGATGAGTTTAATATTGTTTCACAATTTAATTCAGCCTCATTCAGTTATAAAGTTACTAAATGAGTAAAATAGGTGTGGGTCAATGGGACAGCAACTATTTATCAAACTGTAGCAACCAAACGTCTAGCTCTCATGAGATTCTTGCTATCATTTTATGTATTATTGAATTACACTTAGGGCTCATTAGAACAGTAAGCTTACAATTTTGATTTATACATAATAGAATTTGATACATTGTATCATGTCTATTAAGGTAACTCACCCAATTCTGTCAATAAAACGGATTTATAAACAACTGTCATAAAAGTTGAAGGTTTAGCTAGCAATAAAACCAGGTTAGCCCAAGATTTGCTTCAGAAACCAGTACGTATACCAAGTCAGGAATAAGACAGCTGTTGTCCATTCGTTCCGTTGATTGATAAAGTCGAGCGTTTGATTTTGTCAGGTTTTATGAACTTCTCCCCTTTTTTAAATTTACCTTGGAGTTCGCTATTTTCATTAATGCTTTTTTACACGTTGTTCTTAAACAGTGAAAACCTTATTATATCATTGACCATTTAGCAGTACAATGTCCATACAGTTACTTTTTTATATGAGTAAATGCGAAATTAATCAGTAAGCATGTTGTTTCAACCCTATTTTGATTTTCAAAATTCATAAAACATTACATGTTATAATTTTGTGTTTGATTCCAGTTTATTGTTTGAATAACTAAAGCAATAATTGTGAATTCATGAAATTATAAAGCGCCTACCATAGGTTTGCCTTCATGGTAGATACCTTTTCTACTAGACTCTTGATTGGCTCTCATGACTGCTGTTCTTTCTTCATTCGAACCTTACATAAAAATTAAAAAATTAGATTTTAAATAAAAATATCAATATATTATATATAAACTGGGTTTAAATTGAAGAAAGCAAGTGTGTAAAATTGACATTCAACATCAGTCACGAAAAGTAAGCATTATATTGTTTGGACTTTTTTATGACAAAAATTACATTTCTTTATCAAAATCAATATTCCTTTTATTCAAAGACAACTTCCTTTATATTGGAAAAACTCATAAAACTCATACAATGATTAAATCAAAAATTAAATATTGTTTTCTTATTATCTTTTGTTATTCCTTATGAAGTATAACGATTATTTGTCCATTTCAAAGAAGCAATTCATTCTATTTGTATAATGCAAATTCAGGCGACGGTAGTGTACCGATGGTCAAACCTAGTCAATCGATTAGGAATAGACAAAGCAAGACAAGAAATAAAAATTGATGGCAGTTAATAGAACACTTTCTTTGTTTTGGAAAAATTCATACAACTCATAAAATGATCAAATCACAAGTTTATTAATTTTTCTTATAAGCTTTCGTTCTTGCTAATGAAGTATAATGATTACTTGTAAATTTCAAAGACGCAACCCATGCTATTTATATAGCACAAATTAAGGCAACAGTTAGTTATCGATGTTCAAACCTCGTAAATCCATTTGAAAGGCACAAATCAAGACAAATAACAAAAACTGAGGGAATCGCATCAACAAAGTGTCAAGTAAAGTTCCCTTCATTGAAAACTATGCAATTTTGTTCTTTTTTATCAAATATCACTCTTAACCTCCATGGTTTACCTTCTGGGTGTTTGTACTGATTAGTCACATCCTCGCGATATCTATCATAACAGAAATTTTCCCAATTTCCCATTGGTTTCCCGGTTGGTAAATGTGTACTTATATGTTTTCCTATGCTGAAATAATAATTGATAAACAATAAAAGAACAGCAGTTTATGCAATTCATTTTAAGACGTAGGGTAAACTTATTATATATACCAGGATTAAAATTTTGTACGTACGCCAGACGCGCGTTTCGTCTGCAAAAGAATCATAAATGACGCTATGGTCAAAATAGTTAAAAGAACAAATAATGTACGAAGCTGATGAGCATTGAGAACCCAACATTCCGAAAGATTTTTCCAAATACAGCTATGGTAGTCTTTTCCTGTGGTATAAATTTCCTTAGTATTTCGAAAAATTAAAAGTTGTGTAAACAGTTAATTTAGAAATATGACCACATCAATGATACTTTATTTCCACACAGGAGTGCCTACTACTGGGCGTGTGATACCATTGGAGAGATTGCAGAATGAATTTTTTTACAGCTTTTGCAGTTTTTACTTTGTACTCAAACGCAAGAGGTATTATAGATTAACGCAGAAATTTAAGACATCACATTTTAAATTATTAATAACATTAAACAGTTAAACATCTATAAAACTCATATAGTTTTGATTCATGAGACAGAAAAATCATTTTTATAACTATTCCTAGCTCAGAAACCTTTGATATGTGTCTGTCTGTTTGTTTTTATGATAGTTTTGTTTTCATTAATCTGAAACAAAAACATGTATTACATTTTATACTAATAGGTGCTTTACTGTCTTTATGACACATCCTTACATTAAATTTCTTTTGCAAAAAAGGGTTTCGGTACTGGTTACCTGTGTTTTTGGAGTCCAATATTTTTTAGATCACCAGTTTCAGTCATTTGCCAGAAGACTTTGTCTGCATTCACCTCCGCGAAGACAAATGGTGTATCAAAAGGAAGGTAGACCTCTCCGGTTTTAATGGCTGCTAATGGAGCAGGTCCACATTGATATATACCTGGGATAATACACTGTGCATTATAAATTACAATAGTAAATCTAATATATTTACACCAATAAATGTAATTCATGTTATATCACCAAAAACCAACCCTCATTTGATGTTTTATTTTTTTTTAAATTGATTGTTCTGTAGTAGAGAACCAATGCAATGTATTATGTGCTAGCTTAGGCTGCTTGTGAACTGTTAGACCTCGAGGGAATCATAAGCTCAGTAGTCAGTGCTTGGACAATGACATTATTTACTACATACAATTCATCTTAAATATATTAAGAAACAAAGTTTTAAACTCCGTCAGTCAAAGTTGACCTTAGATGAATTTGGTTATATAGTTTAGGTCCCTTTTGGACATATAATTCCTAATGTTTCTCCGTATCTATACTGGCTTTCAAATGTTTAGGTTCGAGCGTTCCTGGTGAAGATATATCCAGAAAAACGTTACAGACACACGAAAATGTTATTTTCCCATGTCTATGCAGTCTAAGATTTAGATAGAGATAGCAATATCGTATATGTGTTTCAGTGTATTGTTATAGAGAGGCGATACCAAAAGGACATACAAACTCGGAAGATGAAAAAAAACTGACAACGCCATGGCCAAAAAAAAGACAAAAACCCAAAAGACAAACAACTGTTACAGTACACAAAACACAATATAGAATACTAAAGACTGAGTAACACGAACGCAATCAAACACCAGGGGTGATATTAGGTGCTCCGGAAGGGTAGGCAGATCCTGCTCTACATTTCGCACCCGTTGTGTTGCTCATGTAAGTACAAACCCGGTGATAAGTCTAATTCGGTAGGTCACATTCGGAAACAAGAGGCTCATGAGAGCCTGATATCGCTCACCTGTAATTTCAATTTCAGGCATTTGACTTATTTGTAGATCTTACTTTGCTGAACAATTTTGTCATTTACACTTTCTCTCTTTCTATAATAATATTAAAGATAATACATAACGGGTAAAGTACACAAAACTGTAAAATTTCCTAAAAATTAACTTTTCAGGACAGTAACCCAACAACAAGTTTTCCTATTGGTCTAGAGACTACTTGACAGGTAGATCGATCTAAACCTGTTTAACACTTTCACCTATGTCAGTTTTGCTCTTACTGCTTTAGTTTTTGAGATGAAAGCCAAAAACTTCATTTGACCCCTATGTTCTATTTTTAAAAACTGCCGCAATGTTTTTGAATGGATCGAATCCCTGAATACAATCTATAAACTAGATACCCTAAGGAACATTAAGTTAAAGTTTGGAAGTAGTTGGCTCACTAGTTGCAGAGAAGAAGATTTTTGAAAAAAGTAATAGACCTTCAGGAAAAAATATAAGAAATAAACGTTTCAAGGGCAATAACTCCTTAAGGAGTCAATTGATTATTTTGATCATTTGACTTATTTGTTGATCCTACTTAGCTGAACATTTTTGCCATTGTACACTTTCTCTCTATTATAATATTAAAGATAATAACCAAAAACAGTAAAATTTCATGAAAATAAAATATTTCGGACAGTAACCCTACAATGGTTGGTCCAATTGGTCTGAAAATTTCATAGCAGATTGATCTTGACTTATTCATCACTTAAACTCCATGTCACTTTTGCTCTAACTGCTATAGTTTTTGAGATAAAAGCCATAAACTGCATTCAACCCCTATGTTCTATTTTTAGCCATGGTGGCCATGTTTGTTAATGGATCACAACTTCGAATACAATTTATAAACCAGTTACCCTAAGAAACATTCAGTTAAAGTTTAAAAGTATTAGGCCCAGTAGTTTCATAGAAGATTTTTAAATGTTAGCAAACATGATAAACAAATTGTGTAAAATTGTCTTTAAAGGGCAATTACTCCTTAAGGGGTAAATTGACAATTTTGGTCATATTAACGTTTTTGTAGATCTTACTTTGCTGAACATTTTTGCTGTTTACAGTTTATCTTTATCTTCATTAATATTCAAGATAATAACCAAAAACTGCAAAATTTCCTTAAAATTACCAATTTAGTGGCAGCAACCCAACAATAGGTTGTTCGGTTCGTCTGAAAAATTCAAGACTAATAGAACTTGACCTATTGAACAATTTAACCCCATGTCAGATTTGCTCTAAATGCTTTAGTTTTTGAGACAAACTTAAAGCCAAAAACTGCATTTGCCCCCTATGTTCTATTTATAGCCATGGTGGCCATGTTTGTTAATGGATCAAAACTTCGGATACAATTTATAAACCAGTTACCCTATGGAACATTCAGTTAAAGCTTAGAAGTATTATTAGGCCCAGTAGTTTCAGGGAAGATTTTTAAATGTTAGAAAACATGATGAACAAATTGTGTAAAATTCTTTTTAAAGGGCAATAACTCCTTAAGGGATCAATTGACAGTTTTGGTCATTTAACTTTTTTGTAGATCTTACTTTGCTGAACATTTTTGCTGTTTACAGTTTATCTTTATCTTCAATAATATTCAAGATAATAGCTAAAAACTGCAAAATTTACTTAAAATTACCAATTTAGTGGCAGCAACCCAACAATGGGTTGTTCGATTTGTCTGAAAATTTCAGGGCTGATAGATCTTGACCTATTGAACATTTCTATTTCATGTCAGATTTGCTATAAATGCTTTAGTTTTTGAGATGAAAGCCAAAAACTGCATTTTACCCCTATGTTCTATTTTTAGCCATAGCGGCCATGTTTGTTGATGGATCAAAACTTCGGATACAATTTATAAACTAGATACCCTAAGGAACATTCAGTTAAAGTTTGAAGGTAGTTGGCCCAGTAGTTTCAGAGGAGAAGATTCTTGAAATAGTTTACGACGACGACGACAGACTACGACGACGACAGACGACGGACGCCAAGTGATGGCATAAGCTCACATGGGGCCCTTCGGGCCCGGTGAGCTAAAAAGAGGACAGGATTGTAGTTACGACAATAGGAACATATCCATCGTCATATGTGAAACAGATATTCCATAACGGTCTGCCTACTCGTGATGGCGCCCGTAAAATTTACGATGGGATTATTTCAACTTCACCAATTGGAACTCTTGGTTTAATAGCTTCCTTGTGAGCAGCAACCCTCTATCAAGGATATCATGATAGGAAATACAAGCCCTGGAATATCGATATATACTCCATATACAGACTCTGCTGGAATTTTTCTACATCGAAATTGTAAGTTCACAATTGGGAAGTAACTTACAAATATCACAAAAATACATTAATGGTGAAATATAAATATGTCTGGTAAAATTTCGTGGAAAGACCGTAACTATTGTCGGTAACACATTAACATAAAAAAGATACGGAATGTGTGTCAATGAGACAACAACTCACAATAATAAAATATCTTCATGCAATCTTCAGTGAAGGTTGCGAAAGTGTTCACATCGTATTGCAAGTTATCTTCGCATTCACAAATCGCTTTACATCTAAAAAAGTTATGAATTCAACATGGATGACGACATGTATTTTCACTTAATAGAAAACAAAAAGCGCCAGCGACAACTATAGTTAAATAATCTTCTGATTTTTTTTCTAACATTGGAAAAAAACAAGCTATTAAAGATACATCTCTAAAATCCCTCCAGAAAAAAACTTAAATTATATCTCATTTACAAAAAACCAAGACCCAACTTAATAGAAGCAACACTTTCTAATACAGTATCAATAATGTTCGCAGCTTTTTAAAGATTAGCACTGAAAAACATATTTAAACTTACCATCACTGGCTTCTTGGGGTGTAGCATCTATAGCTTGCCACCCGCCATAGCCTTTTGGCAGATCTGGCCTTGCCATCCATACATCGTTCCATACATGAAAATTCCTTCAATCAAAAAATGTTTACTAAATTTGATGTTCACATATAATAATTAGTTTTTCTTTGCGTGTGTAGGAACAAATAACTTTGTAGAGAACGTTTTCTGCAATTCCTAATATATAGGTATTAACATCTCTCTACTGTCGTCATAAATGAATATAATAAATAGAAAGACTAGTAATCAACACTTTTAGTTAAGTATCACAATTCAATTTGTCTAGCTTGGTAATTTGCATTCGCCTTAATTGTCCGTCCATTCGTGAGTCTTTAGTCGAAGCATATTAGCGAAAAAAGTAGTTCGGTCTAAACACGATAGGAAATGATTTCTGAGTATGATAACGTGATATCTCTAGGTCTTTTATAGCTTACTTAAAGGTATAAGTTTATGCTAATTTTTTAAGGCAGTTCGGTCAACTATAATTGCTTACATCCACGTTCTATTGTCTATGATGAATAGTTGTATCATCAGCAATCATCCAAAATCAATTATATTTTTTTAATATTGAGTTAATAAAAAGGACAGGAATTATTTATTCTTTAGACTCTAAAGATCGGTTCAAATTATTTCGGTTGTATTACGTCGTCGTGGTAAAATCTTTTATTTGATTGTGCGTTCGCTTCACACAGTTATTCTATTGTTACGTAGTACAGAATTATTTTTATACTAATCCACGAAAGAGAGGCGGAATATACCGAGGGATAGTTAACCTGAAAAGTTGAAAACGAACTGACACTGCCATGGCAAAATACAAAAACGACCACAAGACAGACAACAGTTTAAAACCATTCCGTAGCACATGAGTAGATCACCCCCAGTTTTTGATGGTGTTCCTGTTGCTCGGTCTTTAGTTTCTAGTTTATGTTTGTAAGCAGAGCCTCCATTTGGAACCTGTCGTTTTGCTCATGAAAGTACACACCCGGTGATTTATCTAATTCGGTAATTCACGTTCTAGGAAAAGAGGACGGGATCATGGTTTCGAAAAGTAGAACATATCCGTAGTCATTTTTGAAACAGATATTCCATAACAGTACCCAAATTCGTGATGGAGTCTATAAAATAGGGACGACTTCACCTTCACCACTAAAATTTCTTAGTTAAATAGCTTCCTTGTAAGGAGCAACCCTCTATCAAGGAACTTATGATAGGAAATGCAAGCTAGATGGAATATCGTATCAACTTGAAGATATAATACATATGCAAGCGCTGGAGGAATATTGCTTTAATAAAAATGGAAATAAGCTTGATAATGTTGGGTTGTACCTTATAAGCAACTTTCAGATTTATCATGTATTCATTTTTCTTGTTTGCAAATTGATAGAAGACGCTATGTTTCACTTACCAAACGCTATCATCATTAAGTTCTTCTAATGAGTCTCCTGTCGAATCAAAGTGATTGTCAATAGAAATAGAACCATCACAATCATGTGCAGATGCAAAATTTGTCACACTTCTTGCCGGTATACCAAGAGTTCTACAAACTGTTAATTAAGATATTTGTAAATGGAAAGTAAGATAAAAGAAATGTTGTCAATATGTTGGTATCATGAATTTCAAGTATTTGTATGTACAGGAGTGAAAGGGGGTTTTCGTCTGTTTATGTTCTTAGGGATCAAGATTGACATCATTGTATAAGTAAACAATACTTCCATTGATCGAATGAATTAATTGGAAAATACAAAACTTATTTTCCATCTAAATCTTCTATCCTTATTCACCAAGTAGTTGTATTCTTCACCGCCATTATCCGTACGTCCGTCGTTGTCGTTGTCTGTTAGCACTTCCGTCCATTATTATTTTCACATGATGGTACTCATATTCTGATATGTACTAGTATAAAAAATATTTGGACCTTTATAACGTCTTTTTGAACGGTGTAAGTGATTTTAATATCTGTTATGGCAGTCACTTGTTTGCTAACACTTAGATTTTTCTATTACAATAACTGAGCATAGTACTATTTTTCTCAATGAATAATCCTGAACGTCGCCTGCATATTCTTGGTATTATATTTTACATTTGACTTATTATAATTTTGGTCAAGATAAATGGGAACAAATTTCACCGTCCAAGCAATGGGACTTTCCTCAATTAAAACATAAATATTATGCAACTTAACATTTAAATATAATTTTCATATTACATGACAAAAACCAATACAGTACAGATGTCGGAAATGGGTAAAAGGAGTAAGTTCGGTTTGGGAACTATTGCCTCGAATATTATGTCGATTGTTTAAAGATAAAAATTATTTCAAGTTAATGAATATGCATGTAAAAATGAACTATTTTTGTCTAGCTTTTCTAATAAAGCGTTGACATTTACACCCCAAAATGGCCGAACATCATGATTTTGGTGAAAGGTGACAAAATCGTCCACATGTAGGCCTACATAGCATATAGTGCATTCAAGTCAGATATGTAATGTGTTACAACAAACAAAATGTCAAAATATCTTTGTTGTCGATGTATGCGCTGTGTGTTCATCGTCCGAAAACCAATGTATTTCTAATAATATCAAAATTTGTTCTATTTGTGAAGCCAGAAAAAAAGAAAGCTGATTAGTAGATTTTCAACAAAGATACCGATTAATCATCATAGAGTTGTTCTACGTATTAACATTATGATAATGGTACATAAATCCGTGGTTTAGCTAGAAATAGGAGTCATATTTGGGCACTGCCGACCCTTCTCCTTTATTAATCGATACGAAACAGGAGAGATTCATCTATTCTTGCTTTTATAACTCGTGCATATCAAATTTGATATGTTATCCGACAAATTATTTTTATTGTATATATGTCCCACTTTCCCTCGGAGTTCGATATTTTTGTTATTTTACTTTTTGTCACACATTGGAAATACAATATCCAAAAAAATATATAATGGAGAGGTTTCAACTTACGAGTTGTAGTAATTCCAGAGAAAACCCAGCATTGTCCGTAATATACACTCCTTTTAGTTTTATAATATTCTTGTAAAATTGCAATACTCCCAACCCAATGCAATGGCGACTTCCCACCTTCGTAGTCACCTGACCAGTTTCCCTCTAAAACACCATATTCGTCTGAACCGTTTGCCTGAGAGAGAAATATAACATTTTAAATCATTTTAGCAACTCATTCTGAACTGTGTTTGTTGGTCATTTTTCGACATAGAACTGGTTGGTACTGATTCCAAAACGACTATCGTTGAGTTTTTGGAGAACAGTGTTGAAAGAGAGACGGAATCACCAAAGGGATATTTAACACATAAGTCGTGACAAACTGACAACGCCAGGGGAAATAAAAACAACGACCAAAGAATGTAATAACATAAACGTCACCAATTTGAATGCACCAGATGCGCATTTCGTCAATGTCGCATCTGTGATGCTCGAGGTCAAATATTTAAATATCCAAAATCTAATACAAATTTTGAAGACTGGAGTCAACCAAAAAGGACCTAAAGTATAGCCAAATCCGGACAATGAATTATAGATTTACATGCGGAGAAATATTCCTTTATTCAAAATAATAAAACAAATGTTATAACAGCAAATTTTAATCAAACAATATCCGTATTTTCATGCCAGTACCGAAGCACTGGTTACTGGGCTGATGGTACCCTCGGGGACTAACAGTCCACTGTTTACATGGATACACATACTGTTATTTAAAAAAAAATAAGCAATAACTGACTTCAGATGTGTTGAACTTTCGAAGCACATGAGTTCATCCCGCGTTTTTTTCTTTGTTTTGCTGCTCAATCTTCAAATTTTTGTGCAGTATTTTATGGACTTCCTCTTTTGTCTTTTTGTAGTGGCATTTTCTGTTTTGCTTTGATTAGTGTGTTCTGATTTTCATTTGAAAATCTTCCCTATTTTCTGAATACACATTATACATATTAAAGGAGATCTGAGAATTACGTAAATGACACAGTATCCAAATAAATTATCTTAAAGTCAATATGAATGTGCTTATTTACATTTCATGAAATTCTAACTAGACCTACCAGTGCTGATATTTTTCTTGCCATTTTGACTGGATCTCCTCTAGTAGACCAGAGTTCTACATTACTGTCTAGCAGATACATGGCACAATCAAGAATATCTTTTTCAAACTGTTAAAAAAACAAAATACAAATAAAACCAAATAACACAGTAAGTGTAAAATCATAATTGAAAACATTTCAACTCTATCTGACAAATTTTAACTTTCATCTTATTTAAATGAATTTAAGTGCAAGTCTTTGTAAGAATCAGGCAATTTAGAAGAATTTCAAAACATGACCGAAAAAAAACCGCCGACCTAACCGTCTTATTTTGAAGTTACCCTTGTCCCAAGATAGAAATGGTAGGTCTTTCGTTTCTGCGTGTCTGGTAATTCCAGAAATCACTAGACAATCTTTGGATGGAATGATAGCAAATTATGGAGTTAGCTCCCCTTAATTGGTAATTTATAGTGCATTTCAACCAAATATATCTTGAAATACCAGAACAGTAAATGGAAATGAATGTTATATTCGTGCGCCATTACACATTTCGAACTTAAATTAATGTTAATTTAACTTTAGTGGATAGTTGTCTCATTGGCAATCATACCACATCTCCTTATTTCTATATTGAGTGGGATTTTGTTTGTCATGTTTTCACCACTGCCTGATTCTTAGGCAGACTGGCAATTTAAAATTCTCGACAGATTTCTCTACAAACATTCAGCAAGAAAACTTTGGCATGCCATTGCATTCAATGGGTATGATGATAAAAATAATGATAGGGTAATATGCAACTTGTTTGTATAGAGGCTGCACAACGACAAAAAAAAAGTTTAAATTAAACAATATAGTACAGTTTTCATGTATAATAGTCCGTAATATATCTAAAACAAATTGCAATACGTTATGCATCAAACTGTTAATGAAATCTACAGAATAAAATGTGTTCGTTTCTTTAATTAGAAATTGATATTATTCCAATTTTTACACAAAACTTTTATGTTTCTTAGTGTAGGAATGTGGGTTGAATTATGCATGCAGAGTCTGTCTCTACATGTATAGAATGTCGTTGAGGTTTTATTAAATTAAGATAACGCTGTAAACGTTACGTCTAGCTTCGTTGGTTTTTTTTTATATCGTATTATATCATTAACTATAGGTGTACCTGTCCAAAGTTCCACTTTCTTCCATTCATTGACTTCATGTTTCCAACATAGATTCTCCCCTTGTCGTTTAAGATGTACTCGTTTAATAAATCTTGTTCATGAAGGTAAACTTGGTCGTCTATGAAAATATATTTTAATTATAGATGAAAGCAATTGTTGATGGCCAGTTTAAACAAGAAAAACTGCGAGCGGAGCTCACAAACTCAAACCATGGTCTGTCATTTGAATAGATTTGGCAAAGTTATTTTTGCAATGAGAAACCAAAAGAAGTCCTTCGGATAAAAAACAAATACATGCACAGCTGCACAATGCAATTTGGTACGTGAAGATAATGTGGAAGTATCATTGAAATAGGGACTGTGATTTAGGAAAATTACAAATATTGCGTGTTTTTCTTCTTTTGTATAGAAAAATTCACGTTAATAACAAAAGCATCATTCAAATATCAAAACAATTTTAAAAATTCACAATGACATTATCATTTAATTAATCAAATCCAGTCACTGGTATACGAATGGTGTAGTTGATATAAAGTAAAAGGTGAGTGAATGGTCACAACGACTGAATTGGGGTATTACCACTATTAATGTTGCATTGACATTTTCAATTGATAATATTAAGGTCACGAAATGTAGGTGAAAATACGATCTCGATGTATATTAACTATAGAAGTTAATAGCAACTTCTTTGACTTGATAAGCTGCCATTGTAATTGATGTATACGTGTACTAGATTTCATTTGACGGCAATGTTTGCAAAGTATAAAGTAAATGACTACTGTATTTTTTAGTTTGGTAGTTTACACTGACATGTCTGGTAGTCAGATGGTATTTACTTCATTAACATCACTGATGTGGCTGTCGTTTTGTCTTTTCATCCTGCCGTATCTAAGGGCACATATGGCCAAATCCTAGGTACTTCGTTCATTATTTGTATCACGTGACTTTGGCCTTTTTTGAGTAAATTATTTCACTTAGTTGTAGATTGAAAATATAAATCATATGAAATTTGCAAATTAGCAAAGTACCTCATTTTTTTATATGATTGGCATATCAAACTTTGGTTAAAATAAAATGATTTTCTTCCGTCTTTCTTTCAGTCGATCTTGATTATAATACTTCGGTCTGACAGTAAAGTCTGTTTTTTTTTCTTTTTTAAAAACAAAGCTGATAACAGTTCATAGTATCATTGCAGGGTATTAAACTTTAAGATACAATTTTCTTGTTGTTTTTTGTTTGTTTTACGGAATTACCGTCCTAAGTCTGTATCCTTATTCAGTTAAGTGATGCTTCCACAGAAAACTACTTATGGGTGATTGAATGATAACCTAACTGTTTTATCTGATCCTTGTATTGTGATATATCTTTGCCATTAAGTCTTTTTTGGCAAAATTCTTTACCGAATTTCTGTCAAAATTTTATTTATCTGTGCCATTAAGACTTTTTTGTCAAAGTTCTTTACCGAATTTCTGTCAAAATATAGAATATAAAAAGTGTCAACTTATTTCACTTATAGGAATTATAAAAATTAAAATGCGAACCTGTAAAATGTTTTGTAGCAGGTCAGTTAATCAAAAAAGCCACATGTGAAGACCATAAACAAATTGACTTATTCATTATATTAAACTTGCCTTTACACCAAGGATTGAATAGCATGTAGATATTTTGATCGTGACACATGTCAAATATTATTGTCTTGTTATCGGATTTCACTACAGTTTCAATCTGTATCTTCCATATCCCAACATAACAAGAAGGCGGGGTATTTATCCTGATTGACAACCTTTTCTTCTCGTTCTTTAAGATCCATGCTCCCCATTCTTTCTTTACATCCTTATCTGAGAGAATGAGACTAACACGTGTCCCTTTTGTTGGTGACGGATTATACCCTGAAAAAAATACTGCTATGCTGTATATGCGGTATATTTGCACTAAAAACCTCCATCAATTTTGCACATACATTTTCATGTTTTTTGTGAACTTCACATTCACAAAAAAGATGAAAATATATGTGCAAGAGTACGTATCTGCGTAATCTAGTGTTGCAATGACCGTTAATACTGAATTTAGAATTTCATTTCAAAACTACATAATTTAGGAAATAGATGATACTTTGGTGCAGAAACCGCTGAGGTTTTTAATAACGGTTACTACTAACTTGGTTACTTCGTTACAGGAATTGCTTTGTAATACCACTCGTGGTAATATAGTTAACGTAACTACTTAGCCACTAAGTTACAAGAATAATGTGTTTCATAGTTACACTACAGAAAATAATGTGTCACCGAGTTAAAGGAACTACTTTGTTACTATCATGACTAAATATCTACGTTATTTAACCAAGTTAAAGGAACTATCATATGTAACCAATTTAAAGGAACTATTTTAGTTTACGAAGTTAAAGGAACTACTTCATTTAACCAAGTTAAAGGAACTACTTTGTCACCGAGTTAAAGGAACTACTGTGTTACTCAGGAAAGAAACTAATTTGCTACTTAAATTATAGTTCCAGGAAATACTTTATGAAAAGAACAGTATACACATTAATATCTAGTTTATGCTGTCGTACACGAAAAGTTTATATTAATAATGCGATAAAAAAAAGAGGAAAACAACCTCATTACAAGCAATACATTATACATAAGTCATAGGTGAACCATAAGTTTATGTTGACATTAAAATGCTCTCGTTTTGAAAATGCATATATAGTATTTGCGACTGGAAGATAAATAGATATTAATCGATAAATCTCTCGGCGTCCGTGTTAAAATAAAAATCTTTGCAACATTTCTTTAGGGGTCAGTAGTGTTCTGTTGCAAGTCAAAATGTCTGCATCTATGCAACATGTCCTCAATTCCCAATGACAGTCGACATTCTCGACATCCATGCCGTCGACCTTCTGTGCACAGGCTATATTGATTTATTGTTAATTTGTTCTCGTCCTCAATATGCACGCAAAACTTGCCACTAAACGTAAAAGAAACAGCAACCAATTAATCAACTATAAATTTAAGGTTGTATGTAAGTATTCCTGAATTCCTACAAATAAGGAAACGTTACATATATATCCGCTTATTGAACACACATAAAAATGACCGTTATATTGCTTGATAATTCAATTTTGGATGTAATATGTCTTCTGAATGGCTGAATTTTTTTTTGGTTATCAGCTCATAGACATAATTTTGTCATTTAACTGTGACATCACCAATGGTTTTTTTTTATGATTTACTCCTTAATGTTAAAATGGAATTTAGAATTAAACTATTAGGAACGACTGTAATACTTTTTCTGTATATTCGAAATAACCTAAAAAATGTGGTGCACACTTTTAAATAACCCGCTACGCGGGTTATTCAGTGTGCACCACATTTTTGATGTTATTTCTTCATAGACAGAAAAAAATATTACAGTCATTCCTTAAATGTGAATATGCACTTTGTATGGGGAACAACTTTTCAACATTATATCACTAGTTGAATCATTCGAAACAGGCAAAACATCTTGTTCACACTTTACATGTAGTAGCAAACACATCAATCGACCTTTTGAACTCCACATAATAAACAATTCAAATTAGATGAAAGTTGACATCTAGTCAATAAATGAATGTAATTTTACCCAGAGGAATTTTTGTCTTTTTAGTGCGAAAAATTTGTCATGTTGACAATTCCAATAATATCATCTCGAATTTTAAATCTCAGTAGCATTATTTGAATCTTAGTTACATTTTTCAAAATTGCACTTTCCAAGACAATCACTGATTAATAGGCGTTTGACTTGGGACAGGCCCATACAGAATGTGATAGGGTTAGACATATTCGGGAGCTTATATACCCAATTAAAAAACTTTGTGTATTAACAAAACTGTTAACATGATTTTTTATGATTGCATATTGAACAATAAACAAAACAATGTTTAGAACATATGCTGAGTATCTCTTCCTGATGGAAAAAAGGAAGCTACTCAGCTGGATAATTGTAAAAAAAAATTGTAAAGTGGTATTAAGCATTTAGTAAAGTTACATGTAAACATTTGTGTTATTGTTTCCTCTGGCTTATCAAAAAAACACAACAGAATAGTATTATTATTGTATCTTCATTAGTTATCTAAACTATGAATCAATTATCATAAGTTTAAGAATATTTGCTGAGAATTTTTCAGTCATCATTTCTAACACTATGAATAAAGGACACTCCTACAAGGAGACACATCCGATATAATGTAACAATAAAGAGAAAATAAATTTCTTCAGTTTTCAGAGTATAAGATTTCCACGAGGAAGAAGATGTTCGCTACTTTATTCTAAAACTATAACTTGTTTTTGTTGTGGTTCGTGCTGTTCATTCTTTAATTTTCTATGTTGTGTTTTTATCTATTTGTTTTGATCGTTTTTTTTTTTTTGTCATGGCGTTGTCAGTTTGTTTTCGAACAATTAGTTTGACTGTCCCTTTGATACCTCTCACCTCTCTCTTAGTATTGTTTACAATGGCGGATATTTCATTACAAAAGGAACTTGTGTTTTAAATAAATTATCCTTTAACGTTTAAGTTTTTGATAAAAACATTAAATCTTTTTGTCACATTCAACACCTACATGTATCTTGATTAATATATTAAACATAAAGAAAAATTACGTTCCACTGGCAGACAGGTTAAATGATTCCTGAACATCACAACCCTTACTACAAAGGTTAAAATTTTATAGTTTTATTAATATAATCATTTCGCCCGATCGGATGCTGGATAAAGTGACGAAGTACGAACTTTCTACGTATTAATGATATATTCTTTATTTGTAACGAAATGATTCCCAATTAAATATGTTCAGTTGAATAGATAAGTTCTATAAGTAAGCATACACAGCCTGAAAGTTGTGTCACACTACATCTCCTGTGTGCATAAAACAAAGATATCCGAGAGGGTGGCGTTCAGAAACAAAAGGAGAAATACATTACAGTAAATTGGCCAACCCCTTTATGACCACACGCATCATATTGACCATGGATGAATATTAAAATACGGCGATAAAAACGGCCTTCAACAATGAGAAAACCCCATACCGTACAGTAATATTTACAATACTTCTCGATAAAGATAAAATTGAGAATGAAAATGGGGAATATGTCAAAGAGACAACAACCTGACCAAAGAGCAGACAACAGCCGAAGGCCACCAAAAGAGTATATAAAGGAAATATACCTGCAAGGAAAACAAACTTTAGATCATCTTTCTTTATATCATAATTCCTGTTCACTTCAACAGTAATATCGAATGTTTGCCCTCGTCTCACTATCAGACCTCTGCCTTCCTCGCTGATGCTGTATTCATTAGTGTGATGTTCCTTCGAGTTAATAGATATATTCAAATCCACATTTTCTATAGTCAAATCTGGTTTAACTGGTGGTATAGGTTCTTCAAAATAAAGCAAAATCAATATTTTTATTTATATGTATATATTAATTATTAGTATTAAAATATCGATGCAAGAAATTAGAATATTAATCATAATATAATCAATTTTAACTATTTATTTCAAGTTCAATCTAATATCATCTGTTTCCAAACAAAACCAGTCATTTTATAATCAGAAATCAACTGGATGACGACCAATTTTCCCTTAGAGAAAACAATTTTGCGTAGACTTTTTAACTTTTCAGATCCAAATAAAAGTATGGGAACACGCCACCATAGTACATGTATCTTACAAACATATAATTGGAGTTGTCTAACATGCGTGATTTCTTCATAACACTTAACATAGCTTTCACGCACAGTGAGACCCCCCCCCCACCCCCACCCCCTGTTTTCCAACGACAACCACTGAACTACAGGCTCCTGATTTGGGACATGCAACAAAGGATGTGACGGGGTTAAACATTATTGTTAGCGCTCAACCCTCCCCCTAACCTGGGACAGTGGTGTAACAGCATAACATAAGAACAAACGCTAAAAATTAGTCGCAATTGGCTTAACTCAAAATATCGGTACGACGCACAAAACAACTAACATAAAAACAATAGACACAAAGCACTGATATAAGAGTACTCGCAGTTACTGAAAACTAGTTCGGTCAAAATCAATTACAATTAAAAATAAATAAAAGTTCTCCCTGACTAAAGTATGAATCAGTACACATCCAACGGATTTAGTGAAGAGGTCATAGACATTTTTTGAAACAGATGACCTTATGCAATGCCAAAATATAGGTAAACTGTATCGACAGGATGTAGGCTTATGAGTTCTCATAACTGTAGACTACGTATATAGCAATATATACTTTATAGTTATGTTTTAATTCTTAAAAACTAAATCAATGTTAGCACCGATAAAAACAATACATGCATTTAAATATTTTCTTACGTGTTAAATTGATACCCTTTGAGAATAAGTTTATTAAGGGAATCGTTAAGTTTACATGGATCACATCTAGATTTACAGGCTCTATAAACAATATCGCCGTAAAAATTAGGATGTGATATCCCGTTTTTAATAAGAATACTTCAGGTATCTATGAAATAATTTGGTACAGATTTTAATTTATTTGTGTTAACGAAATCCTTGATTTTAAACTTCACCAGTTATACATAAATTACTTTCATTAAATTCTAAAACGCGACTACTGACAAGAGCATAGCGAACGAGTTTTGAAATATGCATATGTAAGAAGGGTCAAAGGAATTAAGCCTATCTACCTCATAACTATTGAGTTTAACGCCTTCTCTTATTTTGTTCAAAGTAACATTGTGCATGTCGAAGCAATCTTTAAAGGCACGCATAGTGAGTCCCCCAATCGCGGGAACACAACAAATGTATCCTGTTTATAGCGATTTTTTTCTGATTTTTCAATATTACTTTCGTCCAATATAAATTTTAGACAATCGAGAATGTCAGAGATCAGAATTTTTTTTTAGTTTTTTTTCATTACACGCTGTTTTGAACAAGATGATTAAGGGGACGACCATTTGATTTTCTGGGAGAGGGATTTTTTTCCGAATAGCATAGATCATTTTCATCTGTTGCTACGCATGCTATTTTTCCGCAGGAAGATGTATTTTTAACTTTTGTCCAATTTGTTTCCTGCATTTTGTGTAGCAGCAAAGATGTTTATTGTCAGTTCTTACTAGGCCAAGGTATTCGCTTTCCACCCCCCACCCCCCCCCCCCCCCCCCCCTTTTCCCCCAAAAAATATAATCAAATGGTCGTCCCCTAAGTCTTGAATGTACATTTCCTTGTTACCTCGCATGTTTCCAGAAGCCGGGATGATTCAATGCTCTTCAAAGTTAATAAACTTATCAAATTTTTGAATGTTTGCTTTATGTGTATCGTTGAAATGGTTTTTTTTTCTTTCAATAAGATATTATCAATGTATTTTAAAGCTTACCTTCTCTTTCTATAATTGGTTTTCGGCCTTCTGATGTTGGAGTGCTAACTGAACGTCTAGGAAAATTTGAGAGTGTGAATCTGTTACCACCATTTCTAAGGACATCGCTAAAAAGTCTCGTGCGGATAGTAGAACTACTTCCTGTACGTCTGCTACGCGGCAATGAGCGACTTCTCCTTGTTCTCATTTTGAAATATGTAGAACTAAAGTGAAAAATATAAGAAGAAATAGTAAAGAACTTGAAAGAAATGTTAATAGGATGATGCTAATTTAAACGTACAAGATCTTATGTTGATAATGCCTGACTATGATGCATTATTTCAACTAAATGATAATTGGCAAGAAGAGCGTTAATAATTGTATGAATGTTTTGCTGGATCACTATTGCAAGTATTACATACGCTAAAAATAAACATAAAGTATGCGCTCTTTCAGAACTTTGTAGATATCAAGGTCACATCTTGCATCTTTCCTCGTAATATATAAACATTTAATAGCATTAACTTAGACATCAAAGCCATTTGTTAAAGAACAATGAACTGCACAATTGTGAACTCTTGGTTAATGCACCGTACAACCGACCTGCATTATTTGTTCAAAACCCGAGGGATACGTTTACAATTACACATTGCTGTATTCTTGGAGAGTGTGTAAAGGGAGACAGCGTGAAATTCATTATATTTCTCCTCATTCAAATTTCTTGAATTGATCGATGTTCTCTTTTTCATTCTTAGTCTAACACCACGGCACTGTAACCATCTCTTCAGTTGGACATTTGCACAGCTTTCAAAATCATTTAAATGTATTTTTGCCCCAGGAATATCTTTATCAGTTAATTTTATTTTCATAAAATCTTGAGTGGATGCCATTGTTATTACTGATTTGTTTGCATGAGGTGAAACCCAATTGAAAATTGCAAAAGGAGAATAAATAGACAGTCTGTTCAAAATCCGAAACAAACTGTATAAAACATGGGGAAATGTACTTTATCAAAAATTAAATTGAGTTAATTCGATTATATTCATTGAACTGAACTAACAGCCTATTTCATTCAAGAACTGAAAAAATAAAGAATGCAAAAATTCCTCCCTTGTGATATTTGTCGGGTCTGGATTAAAACTAATTTTGGGTCAGGGGTTCTTTTCACAAAAAATCTTTACTGAAATGTTCATGACTTCAGAGTATTTTTTCTCGTAAGCGTTTTTTTTTTTGTGATTTTGTTCGCTGGTGTACGATGTGATTTAATAACTGACTTTTGACTTATTTTGTAATCAAGCAATTGATTAAGCAATTTTACGTGTTGCTCAGTCTTTGGTTTTCTATGTTGTGTTTTGCGCAATGAAGTTTGTTTGTCTTTTTCTTTTTAGCCATGGCGTTGTCAGTTTATTTTCGACTTGTGAGTTTGAATGTCCCTTTGGTATCATTCGCCTCTCTTTTTGTGACAAACCCTAGATTATGCTTAAAAATTTTGAGAGATCATTAACTTTTCCAAAAAGGAACCTCAATTGGAAAAAAAAACCTGTACAAATGTTAATCCCTTACGGTACGATGCAACCATTTTTTTATGTTTAAACATTGATATTTTCCCTACAATGTTATCCTCCCCCTCTAATTTAACCTGAATTTTAATTGATACTTTCATACATCAAAGCAAAGTAAAAATGAAATGAATTTGCTAACAGAGCATGTACAATCTAACACTTACATTTAAAGTGACTGACAACACATTACATCATAAAAATAGTTTGACTGATTATTTTATAAGCATGAATGAGTTTATGCAGTGTCATCTTCAACACGCAGGTTGATTATAACATCAAAACATCACAATAGAATGCAATTCTTACTCACTCATGTTATAGTATGATTTAAAACGACAAGATAACATGCTACGCTTCATGCATTTGATTTACAGTACGTATTGGCGGATTTAGGGGGATGTTCCGGGGGTTGGACTCCACTTTTTTTTTCGATTTTTAGTATTTTAGTCTTTTGTGTGTTTTTTTTAATCATGTGAACGTTTAATGGTATTCCGGGGTTTGGACCCCCCTCCCCTGTCCCCTTTTCAAAATGGCTGGATCCGCGCCTGATATATATATATATCATCTTCAGCATAAATAAAATCAAACATAAAATAATTTGCTGAGATCGAAATTTTAGGATAAATTAACTTTCATCATGAACACTCGGACTGGTTTCCTTGACGTCCAGTTCAATATGAGTGTTCATGAGGAAAGTCAACTTGGTTTCCGTTTCCTTAACGTCCATTTCGTCCCGAACATGCATAAAATATTTGCCCCTGGGCGTAGAGCAAAGAACAAATCAATCAACCACCTTAATGTCCAGTGGAGAAAAAAATTAAACTTTTTCATTTTTGCCAAAAAAAAAAATATTTTTTTGTGTATTATTTTGTCATTTTTTATATTTCTTTGTTAATTTGGCATAACTTTTTTAGAAAAATTTAGCAAAATTTTATTCCCGGGTGAACAAGGGTAGGGTGTTATTTACAACCGGGTAATTAACTAATCAGATTTCAGAATTCTTGCTGCATAAGAAATAAATAGGTTTTATATGTTTTTAACTCTCTGTGTAGTGTATCGTAGAGTGATTTTTGTTTTGTTTTTTTGTTATTTTACCTTGTTAAGCCGTGGTGCTATCTTTTTTTTTTCCTTTTTTTTTTGGACTTTACTCTTGGTATACGTACAAAGCTTTACTTCTGACAGTCTAAGAACTTAGGTTTTGATTAAGAATAGCCTTAAGTTTGTATTTATTTTATATAACTTCTTCTAATTTGCCAAATCTATATAAAAAAATCAGTTTCGAACCATTTTCGGGCTTTTATAATGTGGTTATATTTTTAAAAATATATTTAAAAGACATACAAATATTCTTGGAAACTCAAAGAACACATATGAAAACGCTGTTATGCTGTTAATTTTAGCAAAATTGAAAGACGCTTTTTTTTCAAATGGACTTGGTGAGAAATGAATTCAGTGGAAATTGGTTCTACAATGTACCTCATGTAAATAATTCATTTCAAATTCTTTGTGGCCACCACGTGCATTAATAGTTGTTATTAGCGTTTGAGATTAGACAAACCGCTGTTCAAAAACAGAGAAAAAGACCACCCATTAAATATCTTTATATTCTGCATTGTATACATTTACTGCACTCACAATTATTTTAAATTTGATATCTTTACTGTACTTGAAAAAATTAATTTACGCATTTAAATTATACAAAAGTATGTCATCGTATTTTCCATTTGAAGTCGTAAATCGAAGCACATAAAAGCATATTATTCAGAATCATGATTGTTGAACGGAACATGACCACAAAAAGTGCGCATATCTTTGATGGAAAAAAACAACACTAACATTATATAAGAAATAATTTTGTTGGCACGTAAATGAATTGATGCATGTAACCTTTAAAACACCACTGTCAGCTTTATCGAGTATCTTATTATTCAATGTTGTATTCTCGCATATATTATTTAAATTATAGCATTATGTTATAAAACAAGAAAAAGATAGAAACTGTCGGCAATCATGTTGGTTTGAAGTTTGTGATTTATTGATTGATTGGTGTTTAACACCACTTTCAGCACTTTTGGCTATTTCGTGGCGGTCATTTTATATTGGATGAGGAAGTCGAAGTGCCCGGAGATAACCACCCACCTACGGCAGGAAAACTGACGATCCTAGTCAATTACGATTGGAGTCGAACACATTTGCCATATGATGGATTCGAACGCAAGACATCTGTATTGACAGGCTTATGATACAGTAGTTGTACTACCTAGACCACTCGGCCACCATGGCGCCTGTATATTATGTGTCACATCTACAATCATTCTAAAGAAAAGACCAACTAAATGGAAACATTCAAAAAACCATTGTGTAGAGCTTTGATAGTTTCAGGCATACACGCATGCTGTGAAGTATCAACATTAACGATACTAAGTTTTGCTGCATAAAATGCGCATTTCAACAATTAATGTCTTCAGTGATGCTCAACATATTTGAAAAATCTAATACCTAAAATATGTAGCGTTTTATACGAATATGGGCCTTATTTTTTTAAACAAACTCAGTTGTTTCTACTTTCATTATGACTAAAAGTTTGAAAAATAGAAGGGATGATTAGGCCATAATTTGCCTTTTGCATTTTTTAATAAAGGAGTTTTGATATTTTAATCAACTTCCCACAGCTGATCATAATTGATACATGTATTAGTATTAATCAAAATTAGAATGCTTTCTTACGTATATTTACTTTTGACCTTCAAAGTTCTCTTAATAAGGAAAAAAAATGCAAAAATCGACATTACAGATTAGTTTTTATATCGTCATATTCTGATTTAAATTAAATATATATTAAGACTTACCACAATACGTATTATACTGTAACAGTTACTTATATGTTGATGCACAATGTACGTAAATCATCTTTTTTGTAAAGGCTGTTTCTCACGTCTAATTTAACCAAATTGTATATGTGAAGTGACCATGTGTTTTCATCTATTTCAATTAATGCATGTTTATAAAGTCATGCGTACAATTAAATCATAAGACGACATTACTTTAGTAAAGACTAACCACTCCTTTCCATTTGGATAAAAAAAAATGAAAAAAGGATTGAAAAAAATGCCTTTTTTAGCCATTTAACAAAATTCACTGTGACGTTGCGCACGATGTCGGTACATATGTACTACTTAGCGTTACACGACGTTCCGAATAATGAAGCGATTTCGACGATTTCAAAGAACGTTTCAAGCGTTCAAGCTTATAATTGATGAGGTCAATTTACTGTTGTGAATTTGGTAACCGATTTCGGTTTGTCTGAAAATGCATAGTTTAACAAATAAAATATCGTACACATATTTTTTTTAATGAATATTCATTTATAGGAGTTGTCAGTCTTTCCAGGCCATAATTGATCATTTTACTTTTGGAAGCAGTTCGCATCAATGAATCATACATTGATTTCCAAATTTATACAGATTTCTTTTTTTAATATAAATTAGATTTTGATTTTATTTTCCCTTTTTAATGCATGTTTATACATACTCCTTTTGTTGTATTTCTTTCCGTTTCCGTTTCCTTTCTATATTTTATCATTTCCCGATGCTTTCTTTGTCGCAAAATTTCTAGGTAGTTAAACATTTTGGATTCATGTTTTTCTCATTTCCGTATTTTTG